AGAAAGTATAAAAAATCAGAAAATTCTGTACATCAGAAATATAAATAGAACAGATTGAGAAAAAATAATTTCAAGATGTATGAGAGAAAAATAACTAATTTCCCTGATAAATAATCCTTAAAGAAAAAGAATTTAGAAAACTGGATTAAGGGCATTTATAGGAAAATAATGAAAGAAAAATAACTAGCAATAAGTTATGAAAAGATGTTCAACCTTTATAATAGTGAAATAAAGGCAAATAAGTGAATTAGAAACTATTTTAGGGAAATGGTTGGAGGCCAATCAGATTAGCAAAGACTATAAAGAAATTTTAGAAGTGTATGGGGCGTATGTCAGAAGTTGGGTTCTGTTACCCAGTGTTGGTAAGATTGTGAATTATATAAAACATTTTAGAGGAAATTTTGAGATAAACACCAAGTTTTTGCATGTAAATATTCTTTGACCTAGCATTTTATTTATGAGAACTTCTCAGAGAAACTTAAAAGCTTGTAAAGATTTGTGCACGAGGATGTTCATTTATAGTATTTTTCTTTTTTTTTTGGTATTGGAGATTGAACTTGGGACCTTGGGGTGGCAGGAGGTGGAACAACTGAGCTAAATCCCTGGCCTTCATTTATATTATTTCTGATAATAGTGAACATTTGGAAGCAGCAGTATTTCTCAGTAAGGGTATATGTAGTAGCTTTTGTGATGTCTAGTCAGTGAAATGCTGTGTCCTTCTCAAAGAATGGGCTAGATCAGCGTGTTCTGGCATGGAGAAAAATGGAAGATGCTTTTCGTTCCTTTTTTTTTTTTTTTTAAGGTAGCTTTTGTTTCCTTTTTTTTTTTTCTGGAAGATGCTTTTTGAGACAAACTGAACTTGAAAAGCAGTATGTAAAGTAAGAGTCTAGCTCTCTGCATTCTCTCCTTTAAGGGGAAGGACGTAGCATTCAGTCAGGGCTGAATGGGGTGCCTGTCCACTCATCTTCCATTTCTTGCTTGGCACCTCTGTTGAGAAAGCAGAGTGGCCTCGGCAGAGCGCAGTGGGTGATAGTGAGCAGTCAGCTTGCTGGCCCAGCCACGTTCCTGTCACCTGCTCTTTAGCTTTGTTAGCACCACCTATTTTTAATTTCCTGCACGTGGGACAGCATGACTCAGGAAATATTTTGATGCTATAGGAACTGCTAGCTTTTTTATTATCCTGCTCTCATCTCTATATTTGTTTTGAAGGGATTTTCCTGTTTGTTTCCATTGTCGTTTTTCCTAACAGACCACCAAGATCAGCCAGCTCAGTGTGAAGCTGGAGTGAGGTGCTGCCATCCACTCAGTGGAGTGGCATTTTTCCAGCAGCTCTCAAAGGAGAACTTTTGTAAGCCACTAAAAACAAAATGTTGTCCTCTGTCAAAGCTTGACAGTCTTGTGAGTTTATCATTTTCCTTCAGATTATGAGATCATTAATCACCATGTAATCTCAGTGAGGTTGAAGTAAATACTTTAGTTTCCCCCTCCCCTTTCGGTTTTGTGGAACAGAGTCTTCCTGTGTAGCCCAGGCTGGCCTCAAAATCAGGGTTCCTCCTGCCTCAGCCTCCCAAGTGCTGGGATTATGGGTGTGTATCACCATGCCCAGCAGTTTCTCACTTTTGATACAAGGAGATGGCCTGATATGATGGTAATCTCAGCCCTCAGGAGTCCGAGGTAGGAGGATAGATGCAGGTTCAAAACCAGCCTGAGTTATAGGATGAGTTCAAGGCTAGCTTAGACTGTATCACAAGACCCTGTTTTAGAAAACAAAAAGTGATATGTCAATGAATACATAGTCAGCTGTGAAAGAATAGATTTCTCAATATTCTGGAGGATGCTGTGTTGTACGTATGCACCTCAGTTATCTATCCCTGATAAATCAATTGTTGAATCTGTAGGCTTGTCTGTATTCTGCATCAGTCACTGACCTTTTTTTTCTTTGGTACCAGGGATCGAACTCAGGACCTTGTGCTTTCGAGGCAGGCGGCGGAACCACTGAGCTAAATCCTGGGCCCCTAACCTTTCTAACACTGTTTCATGTAGCTGCCACCATGCTGGATGCTGTAGCACTGCCAGTAGGACGCTGTCAAATGCCGGAAATGTTCTGTGCCTGTGCTGTCCCAGTAGGCCCTGTGTGCCTGTTGAAATGTGATTAGTGCAAATGAGGAACTGAAGTTTTAATTTAGTTACATATACATGTATAATTAATTCTGTCATGTACAATGATTGATTTCCTTTTTGCTTAATATATAACAATTTACTGCCTATTAAAATAGTAAATCATGGTTTGATTGTTTATCCCTCTCATTTAGGTATGTTTGGTATCTTTGAAACATGAGAGTTATAGAAATAGTATTTTAGAGAGATGATTTTCTTCAGGTTAGTTTTAGGCCTGTGGTGGTTCAGTTAAATTGTTTTCACTTTTAGATCGAGCATAGTCCCTATTTAAACCATTAAGAATTATTTTGCATTATGGAACAATTACATATAAATTAGACTGAAATTTTTGAAAAAATTGTTTTCTTTTGTCCTAGGAATTCATGAGAGACAGCCAAAAGCTAGTATCATGGTCCTGGGTCATTATTCTTGTCCCCTTGAAAATAGTGAGCTACTGATCATTGAGTTTATAATTAGTTCCATGATGTTAATCATACTCCCTGACCCACCCTATCCTAATTAAATTTTAGTCAGGTGCAGTGGCACGTGTTTGTAATCTCAGCTACTTGAGAGACTGAGGCAGGACAATTGCAATTTCAAGGGCCAATTAGTGAGATTCTGTCTTCAAAAGAAAGACATTTGAAATCATAGCATAGGCAAAGCCTTCCTGAATAGGACTCAAATGGCACAAGAAGTAAGAGCAAGGATTAACAAATGAGTCTACATCAAATAAAAAGCTTCTGCACAGTAGAGGAAATAATCAACAGAGTGAAGAGACAACCTACAAAACAAAATCTTTGCAAGCTAGTTTTTTTGTTTTAATAGAGGATTAATATTGAAAAGTACATAAAGGACTCAAAAAACTTAATACACACACATTACCCAAGCCTAAACAAATAACCCAGCCAACAAGTAAAAGGATGACTGGACACTCTTAACAAATACAATTGGCTGATACTTACATGAAAAAATGTTCAACATCTTTGCATTAGGGAAATGCAAGTCAAAACTGCATTGAGATTCTGTGTCATCCCAGTCAGATTGGGTGTCATTGAGAATACATACACACAGGACTGGGTGTGATGGTGCACACCTGTAATCCCAGCACTCAGGAGGCTGAGGCAGGAAGATCACCATGAATTTGAGGGCAGCTAGACTACATAGTGAGTTCAAAGCCAGCCTGAGTTACAGAGTTAAACTGTCTCAAAAACCAAAAAAATCCCAAACAAACCCCACAAAACAAAAAAACAAAACACACACATACATAAATACTCTTGCGAATGTAGGGGAAAGAAACCCTTCTACATTGCTGGTGGGAATGTAAACTACTGCAACCACTATGGAAACTGGAGCAAAGTTTCCTAAAAAACCCTGTATTCCATTTCATTCAGTTGTACCACTCCTTGGTTATATCCCCCAAAATTAAAAACAGCATACTGTAGGAACATCTGCAAATCTCCGTTTCTTGCTGTGCAGGTCACAGTAACTAAGCTCTGGATGCCCTTCAATAGATGAATGGATAAAGAAAATGTGGTAATATATGTAGAGTGGAACGTTATTCAGTCATAAAGAAGGACAAAATCCTGTCAGTCATAGGAAAATGGGTGGAATTAGAGACAAGCAAAATAAGACAGATTCAGAAAGTTAAATGTTTGGGCTGGGGATTTAGCTCAGTGGTTCTGCTGCCTGCCTTGAAAGTGCAAGATCCCGAGTTCGATCCCTGGTACCAAAAAAAAAAAAAAAAAAGAATGTTAAATGTTGCATGTTTTCTCTTCTTTGAGCAATCTAAAAAGAAGAGCTGACAGAAAAGTAGAGTAGAATAGAAGGGTGGCTGCCAAAGCCAGGGAGGGATGGGGAAAGGTTGTTGAGTGGGTCCTGTGCAGGCTGAGAAGCTTCGAGGTGCTGTTACACAGCAGGGTGACCGTGGGTGACAGTAGTGTGTGGTGTTTCTCAGAAAGCTAGATGAGAGAACCTCACATGTTTTGCCATAAAGAAATGATGTTTGAGGAGATATGTTTAACCTGGTTTAAGCATTGTACAATACATACATGTGTGGAAACATCCTATGGTGTCCCATGAATAAGAATAAGTTTTAGATTTTGTTGGTATCAGTTTAAATAAATTAAACTTTCAGAAAGAAAAAGAGGTTTAAAATTAATAATGTCGGTTGCCACAGTAAGCTACAAACAAAACAAAACAAATTAAAGCCAAAATAAAGTCAGCAGGGAGAAAATAAGGATGAGGTAGGGGTAGAAGACAAGTAAACCTAGAGAAAGTTAACAGCACTTTTATACTCCTTTTTGATACCTTTTATTGAGTTGTTAGCTTGTAGTGACTAACAATTTTTAATGAAAAACATACTTTAAAAATTACAAGGACTTAATTTATAGGGGAGAGCAGGATTAAATTAAGTTTAGTAATTAAAATTATTATTTTCTTTATTTGGTAACAGGGATCGAACTCAGGGCCTTGCACTTGTGAGGCAGGTGACAGCACCACTGAGCTAAATCCCCGGTTAAAATTTTTTTTTTTGTTAACAGAAGCTTCAGTTACCTTGAATTACAATTCATCTTAGTGTTCTGATGTGCATGCTTTGGAAAAAAATGTAACCTGTGGTCGGGGAGAATGTGCAAACATTTTGTAACACTAGGAAGGGCTTTTAAAGTTGAAGATCTGAACTTAGTTTTAAAATATTCAGTTGTAAGCAGCAGTGTGTATGTCATTGAAAAGATGTGTGTTTACTTCAGGATGGTAAGATGTGATCAGCTCTTGGGAACTTGTATAATCTTATTGAACTGAGAAAAATGAACATCTAAATAAAACATTGAACTATTTTCTTACAGGTTTATTGACAAGAAGGAAAGGTTAAACCGACTTAAGAGCAAGCAAGAAGAATTTCAAAAAGAGTGAGTTGTTTTTTTTTAAAATTTGTGAGAGCCTGTCTGTCACCACTTGGTTTACTTCATTGCCATGGTATGTAGATACAGAACAGCAATACCTTGGTTCTGGAGCGCTTCTTTTCACAAATGTATTCAGCAAAAATTTGCTTTCATTTGAGAACTCTGAATCAGGTGACACTGGGCCTTATGGGGAAATTTGATTGAGTTCATGACCAGAATCATGGAATAATTCATGAACCAAGGTACTACTGTACTCGGATTGGTAGCTCACTGAACTTAGTTGCAATCCTGCCACATGTGGGAAAGGAGTGCATCAGGGAGAGGTCCAGCACGAAAGAGTATCAAGTTCCAGAAAACACTGGGCTCAGACCTGATGCCTGCCAGACAGTAGGCACTTGGTGAGTGTAGTCAGACCTCTGGCCCTTGGCATTGCTTGGCAAATTGGCCCGCAACAGTAGGTTTGATTAGATTGAAATTAGTGCTAGTGTCCCCAATTGGACCTTCCTGCTTTCATTTACTTTCCCTTCTGTGTCAGGTTTGCAAAGCACGGTCTGCAGATATCTGTGTGTGAATCCATTAATTGAAGTAGTGCTGGAAAATGCAGCTTCTTGGGAATTTTGTCCTTACGCAGGACCTTAACTCAGTAGGTCTGGGCTGAGGCCTGGGAATCTGAGTTGTTAATGAGCACCTGATGAATCAGCCCCTACGTGTGAGAACTGTCCTGTAGAACTTTCTGATTCAAACTGACCCATAGACTGGGAGTTTGCCTCTCTGCTTTCGTGCACAGATTGCCTTGCCTCAGTGCTTTTCTTCCACTGCAAGTCCTGTCCTTATTAGGGGTCTTTTGAAACCTTTCACACCAGCTCCACGAGGAAGTGTTGCTCTTCTGATGAAAACAGTATCTTTGCCAGGGAATCCTAAAGTGGGGTCTGAACTTTTAAGAGTCTGCCATGTCTGACAGACACATTCATGACCAGATTAAGCCTGAGATTCTGCTTTAGAGAAATTTGAATTTTTTTTTTAACTGAGCCATTTTGCTAGATGACTCAGTCACAGAAACTTTTTCTCCCATAGAGCACTTTATTCCATAAAATGTTCTAGGTTCCATAGGATACGTTTTCAGAAATGCTGGTCTGTGCCATTTCTTGGGGAGCCAACACACTATTTTAGATTTTGAGTTCTCATGTAGGTGTTGTTATGAACTGTGGCTGATGGAGTTCTGAGGATGAGGCCAGGTATTGTGGGATTTCATTGCGAATGTTTATGAAGGCTCTGGGCAGCATCAGCAGTGCAAAGGGAAGGAAGTGAGGAATTTTTAGAGACTGAGAAGTTGGGGAAATACTAGCCATGGCAAGTCTCACTTGGCCAGATGCTTCTAATCACTTACTTTAAAAAGTTGATTTTATGTTTTGAATTTCACAAAACTTTATTTTTAAGAGCTTGCTGTCTCTGTTCTTTCCCCCAGAGTATTAAAAGCTATGGAAGGAAAATGGATAACAGATCAGTTGGTAAGTTCTAAGTCATATTTAGGTTAATAGTCTTTATACTTGGCACTACGTGTTTTTAAGTTGGTAGAGCTTAAATCATTTTGAATTTAAATTTATTTTTGAAAACCAAGTGTGGTGGTGCACACCTGTAATCTCAGCACTTGGGAGGCCGAGGCAGGAGGATCACCGTGAGTTTGAGGCCAGTCTGGGCTACATAGAATTCAGTGTTGGCCTGAACTACAGAGTGAGAACCTATCTCAGAAAAAAAATTTTTTTTTAATAGCAAAACATTTATTGGTACCTTTAAGGCCTACATAATGGTAGCACTCATCATAGAGAATTTGCACCTGTACATAATACATCCCACCTCCTTTTCCCTTTCTCTCCCTCTCCTCAAGCCCCCTCCCCTCCCAATGGGCAAAAGCTTTGATTCCATTTTTTCCTTCTATTTCTTCTTGTCCTTTCCTTCCTGTCTCCCCACCTCCCTTGTTTCCCTTCCCATTGAACATTTTCTTCCCAGTATTTGTTATACATTTTAGTCCTTATTTCCACTTTTGGTTTCTCACAGCAGAGAAACAATATAGTATTTAAACATGTGTGTTTGATTTATTTCACTTAAGAGTCTCAAGATCCAACCGTTTCCCTATAAATGTCTGAAGCTCATCCTTCTTTATGGCAGAGTAGTACTCCATTATAGAAAAAAACCCACATCTTCTTTATCCACTCCTTAGTTGATGGTTATTTGGGCTGTTTCCAAGATTTAGCTATTACAAACTGTGCCACTATAAACGGGTGTGCATATATCACTGTGGTACCATGTTTTTAATTCTTTTGGGAAGATACCAGGAAGGGGAATAGCTGGGTTAAATGGAACCTCTAGTTTTACTTTTTGAGAAATCTCCACACTGATTTCCACAGTGGTTACAACAGGCTACACTCCCACCAACAGTGGAGGATTCCTTTTTCCCCACAGACCCTCCAGCATTTGTTATTGGTTGATTTCTTGATAACAGCCATTCTTTATGGAGTGAGATGAAATCAGCATTATTTTAATTTGCATTTCTTGAATGACCAGTGATATATTAGTCTCTCATTTCTACTTAATCTGAGAATTGTCTATTCATTTCAGATGCTCATTTTTGGATTTGGTCTTTATTTTTGGGGGGTCTTGATTTTTGTTTTTTGAGTTCTTTATTCTAGATGATGGTCCTTTGTCTGATGAACAGCTGCTAAAAATTTTTTCCCCACACTGTGGGCTGTCTCTTCACTCTGTTGGTGGTTTCTCTTGGTGTGCAGAAGCTTTTTAATAAGATGAGATTCCAGTTGTGATTCTTTGTGATTATAGTTTCTGTGCGATCGGGGTTGTTCATAAAGTCTTTGACTACACCAGTGTCTTCGAGTGTCCTACTCATTCCATCTTCCAGCAGACTTAGGGTTTCTGTTTTAATATTTAGATATTTAATTCATTTCAATTTTAGGTTAGTGCATGGTGAGAGATGCAGGTCTAGTTTCATTCTTTGGCATATGGAAAGCCAGTTTTTCCAGGACCATTTATTAAAGAGGCTATCTGTTTCCTAGTAAGTGTGTTTGGCTCCTTTGTCAAAGGTAAGGTGGCTGAGTATGTCTGGAGTTGTTTCTGCATCTTCTAATCTATTTCAAGTCAGGGATTGTGATGACCCCTGCCTTGCCTCTGTTGCCCAGAATTGCCTTTGCTATTCTAGGTCTCTTCTGGCTCCATACTAATTTTGGGATTGTTTTTTCTAACTCTGTGATATATGCTGTTGGAATTTTGATCAGAATTGCATTCAATCTATATAACAATTTTGGAAGTATGGCCGTTTTCACTATACTGGTTCTTCCTACCCAAGAACAAGGGATATCTTTCCATTTTCTGATATCCTCTTTGATCTTCTTTTTCAGAGTACTGTAGTGTTCAGTGTAGAGGTCTTTTACTTCCTTTGTGAGATTGATTCCTACTTATTTCATTTTTTTGTATGCTATTTTGAAAGGTTATAGTTCCCTAATTTCTCTCTCAGTGAGTTTGTTACTTGTGTGCAGGAAGGCTGTTGTTAATATTTGAGCACTGATTTTGTAGATTGTGCTTGGGAGGGAGGCACAGCGCCACTGAGCTAAATCCCAACTGACTCCTGCCTCTTTTTTTTTTTAGCTGTATCTGCTCTAGAGTCACTAAGCATGTCTTTCAATGTGGTCATTGTCTCTGTAGTTATCTGAAAAAGTATTTCTGCTTTGATTTTCTTCTCCTACCGCCTCTCCTTTGTTACTTCCACTGTTAAAACTTTAAAATGTCCAGGTGTGTGGTTTTCGGATTGTTCTACCTTACTGCCATCTTGGGTTTGCCTTTGGAGAGCTGGAAGTCTGGGGTGGTTGCATCTTGTTTAGTGTGAGGGAAAAGACAGATAGAAGAAGAGGAAGAGGCTGGAGGACCAAGGTAAATTGTCCAAACTTTGGGAAACTGATGAAGCAGATAGGAGGGAAAGGGAAAGGAAGATAGAAAAATGGTAACACAACAGAACAACAAAAACCAGAAACCATGTTCAAACGCTCAAGAAAAAACAAAACAAATCAAGAACAAAAATCAGAAAAGAAGAAAAAAGAAAGAAAAAAAGTTCAATTCAAGGCACGTCTCTGCTGTCACTGTTAGACAGTGTGGGCAGACAGTCCAGAGCTGAATTGATTAATCCCAGCAAGCCAGCTGTAGCTTTATGGTGGGGTAGTGGATAATCCCAGCCAGCCTGCACCTTTAATTTCACTGAAGTTCAGGCTGGTTTCTGGCTATGAGGCTGGAACTGGGTTTTTTCAGCCTGCTTCAGTCCATGTGCCTCCTGTAGGCTTGAACTTGGCTCCCTACTGACTTGAACTCTGCGCTCTCACTGAGACCCTGGGAGCCACTAGATGGAGTTGGCCTGCAGCTGTTCTGAGTTCCAGGTTCAGTTGGCACCTCTCCAGGATGGCTACCAGCCGATTGCCCTCTCCTGGGGGACACCTGAACTTGGATAAATCACCAGCTGTTGCAGTCGGCTTCATCTCTTGCTCCATTCCACTGGTGTATTTCTCCATGAAGGTCCCTGGGGTCACCAGTAGTCACTGTGTGTCTGCAGGTTCGACCCATCGTTTCCACGCTGTGAGTCCAGACTCTGGGAGAGAGGGCTGCTTGTTATCTTCTTCCTCTTTGTTGAAGTCTCTCTCTTCGCTTTCCCTTTGGACATCACTTCTCACTTCAGATCCTTCTTTGGTCCCGGGGACCTACTCCCCCCCCACCCCCCCCACCCCGCCCTCCTCCTCCTCCTGCCATTATATTCTAGTGTCAGGGCACCAAATCTAGGAAAGGCTCCTCCTCTGCTGTTCACCACTCCACCATCTTCCTGGAAGCCCCCCGCTCCAATTTTTTTGATCACTTTGACAGTCCTTTATTTAAATAGATTTGTAGGGCTGCCTTCTCAAATGTTTTTCCTAGATACCAAAACTAGGGCACAGGCAGTTAATTTTGGAGCTATCATAAAGGATAATTATAAATCTGGTATTGATGTAGAATTACAAAAGCAGTGAGCCATCCTTTTAGCAAAAATTCATAATAAATATGGTACAGAAGGGTTGATGATTAAATATAAACTTATAAAGATGTATTTTTATTAGTACACGTTTGCAGTACATACTGATTTACGTGCATCATGGGGAGTTTCGGTACACGAACATGACGTCTTAATTCTTTTTAGGTCCCCTTTCCCTTCCCTCTGTTGGCCCCTTGAGGATAACCTTTATAAGGCACAGAGGGCACTTGGGCAGCTGATAAAATTTAGAAAGTTCTGTATATTACAAGCTCTAAAGAAAATTAACAATGAGATAATATGATGTTGGAAAATAAGGAGTTTGACAGCACGTATACCTTGTTGGTTGGAGTGTTCATCAACACATTCAATTTGGAGACAGTTTGGGGATAATGGCCATAGTTGTTTGTTTTTGTGGTGGTTGCTTTAAGAAGCACATGAAGTGCACATAGCACATGTAGCGCCCAAACAGTTTTCCTCCTGTGAAAATGCACCTGAATGCAGAAGTTCATGGGTGAGGAAGCTGAATGTTCATCGGTCAGGAGATGAACAGCCGTGGTACTGTGTTAAAAAGAACATAGTCGGGCCGGGGATTTATTTAGCTCAGTGGTTCCGCCACCTGCCTTGTAAGCACAAGGTCCCAAGTTTGATCCCCAGTACCAAAAAAAAACCCATAGTCTTGGTATTCATGTGTTGAAATATCACACTGAACCCTATAATTACCATGCAATTAAAATCATTTAAGAAACTTCTAAAATGTGATCAGTCTACATATATCAATAAGGAAATATATGCAAGATATATTTCAATGTAAAAATAAAAGTATGATTCCATTTGTGTATGTAAATATACTCTAAAAAACTTGAAAAGGCATGTCTCACTTTAATTTTAGGAGATTACCTTTAGGGTACAGAGGCACAGCTCAGTGGAGCAGTGTGTGCTTAGGATTTAGGAGACCCTCAATTCAATTCCCACCAGCATGCTCATGCAAAACACACACACACACACACACACACACACACACACACACACACACAGAGGTTACCTTTGAGGAATGGGAAGGAGTCAGGCTAATGGTCATCACACTTTTTTTCTTCTGCAATTTTTACTTTTTTCTGACAATAAGAATGGAGAGTTTTATTGAACTTAATATTTCTGATAGAAGTTAATTTTGATTACATTTCAAATGATAAAAGTAAGCAAAATATGTTCTGTGGAAAATTTTTCTAAATTCTCTGATGTTCTGTAATTTTTCTATCAAAAACATCAAGACCATCACCTTTTAAAAGTAAAGATGCCACGCATCTGTTAGCCTTTCCCTTGCTGTCAAATTCCTGCAGCCTGCCCTGGGTCTTGCACCATTAAACTTCTTAGATAAGTGTTAATGCTCTAAATTCTTTTTTTTTTTTAGCTGTGTCCCAATAAAGCTTTATTTACCAAACCAGTTAGTGTTGGACATTTTGCTGACCTATAGTCTAGAGGTTCAGCTTCATCCTTGAAATACTGTGACCTTTGGCAATGCATTCACTCTCACCACACCTTTTTTTTCAGTCACCTGTAAGATGTAGATTTAACTGTTGATTACAGATAAATAATATATGAGCATCAATGAGATGATGCTCACATATGGACATGAAATAGAAATGTTGAAAAAGTACCGAAGAATGGTACAGTGTTCCTTAACCACCTGTACCTGGTAACTTTTTTCACTTGGCCTGGTCTATATAATTACACCTGCCACACACACACCCCTGAACCCAGGGCCTCTGCACTGAGCTACATCCCCAGCACTTTTTTTCCCTCTTTCCTCCTCCAGCTTTATTAGAATAGTTTAAAATTGCATTTTCTATTTTCTAGGACTTCAGTTGCTTTTTCCATCTGACCTTTACAAACTGATTACAGGGCTGGGGATTTAGCTCAGTGGTGCCATGCCTGCCTTGTAAGTGTGAGGTCCCAAGTTCGATCCCTAGTACTAAAGAAAACAAAAACAAAAACTGATTACAGCAAATTGAAACAGTTGTCTAAGTGATATAATATATAAAAATAACATCTTGATTTCTGTGAAAATGCATTTCTCTGCAATTCCTGAATAGCTCCAAATTATACTAACTCTGAACACTGATGTTTACTCTGGGTTTTAGATTCAGTCTTTGAAAAACTGTGTTCTCAACCTTTGCCATTCCCATCTGTATGTCCATTACCAGTGCTGGTCTAGGCGTCTAACTCGAGTTCTCTCACATGGCCATCAGTGTGCACGTTTGTCTTTTTTTTTCACTCCCACTCACATGTATGTTCTATGAGGGCCTGATACAGATGTTACCTGGTGTTATTTAACAGCTACTGAGGTCAATCCAAGGCCGTCGTTATGCTAAACTTAAAGTTATTTAAGGAAGTTCATGGACACTTCCAGAATCGATCTTACCATCCACGTGGGAACAGATTGAAGAGGCCCAGGATGAGCCTGTGGCCTGACAGCTCTTCCCATTTGTCAGTCTCTATTCACCAGTGCTGAGGAAAGGGAGTTCTTCAGCAAAGCATTATATATAACACCTCTACCAAACAAAACAAAAACTTTTGTAGTTAAATACAGAAAATTATTTTTTTCCCCACCCCTTTCCTCCTTTTACACAGCAAGTAAAGCCCACTGGCCTGGGAAGAGCCTCTATCTGCCAACCTTTGGCCAGTGAAGAGGATTCAGACAAAACAATACAACCATCAATCAGAAAAAGGAGGGGCAACAAAGGAAAATAATTAGGCTGTGGCCTCAATCGTGCATTCCCGTGTAAGATGCCCAGACTCCCCACAGCCGTAACGGCTGACTTGTCTTGCTGCAGTTGATGGCTGTGTAACCAGTCCCACCACACCTATAGCGCTTCGCTTTGGTGCAGTCTTTCTGAGAGTGTCTAACTCTTCACAAGAACAGCACCTCTGCTCATCTGCGTGGTCAGTCTTAGGCCAGAAGCCCAGGCTTGCCAGTTGTAGCAGCCCTCCTCTCGCTGTCTGTCAGGCTCCTTGCAGTCTAGGGAATGTGGTCACCTCTGCCACAGTTATAGTGGGCATCGGCCTGAAGATCACAGTCCTGGGCAAGGTGACCAGACTCACCACAGTGGTAACAGATGTCTGGAAGAGATGAGGAAACAAACTGGAAACCCCTGCCACGGCTTCTCATTGTACAACCATGGCCTCCACCAGTAGGGCATTCCCGGGCCCAGTGGCCCGAGCGTCCACACATGAAGCCCTCAGGGCTGCTTATGGCTGCAGTTAGATCTTCAGTGTCTGAGTGGACCCTCGGTGGCAGAGACTTGGACGCAGGTCCAGAGCAGGGGGCTTGAGAGGCAGTGGGTATTTATTTTCAGGGTCCTTGCCTGCGCAGGTCTGCACACCCCCAGCACTTTTTGTTTTTGTTTTTTGAGACAGGGTCTTTCTGTGTAGTCCAGGTTGGCCTTGAATTCCTGGTGATCTTCCCACCTGTGCTTCCCTAGTGCTGGAATTACAGGCATGTGCCATCACACCTGGTTTCCCAGCACTTAAAAACATTTTTTTTTTATGAGGCCTCAGTAAGTTGCCCAGGCTGGGCCACCTTGTGATCTCAGCCTCCCAGAGTGCTGGGGTTGCAGGCAGGCATCAGGGCCTGCTTTTTTTTATAGTAACTGCTTCATTATTAAATACAGCAGAACAGTGTAACCTGGGATCGTCTTGGCTCGTCTCCGTTTCTCCCCTTTCTTCCCCAGGCGCTTGCTTCTCTCCCTTCTGCCTCTTTTTCTGTTTTCTTTGTGTTTGTTGTGATCATTTTTGTCTTTGAAGAGGCTCGAGTCGTGTCCCGAGCTCCCTGTGGACAGCTCCGTGACCTCGCTCCCTCCCGCTTTCAGAACCAGCTTCAGAGGCGTCACATGGTCCGTGTCCAGGTGTCTGTCAGACTTGTGCTTCCTGCCCACATCCGACCCCCAGGCCTTGCGGCGCGGCTTCTGGTCTGGGCCAGGCTAGCGGAGGGCGGGAGCAGGCCCACGAGAGCCCAGGCCGTGAGGCAGGGGCGTGAGGCTTCTCACCAGAGTGTGGCGCACGAGACGCTGTCTAAATATTTTCATATTGTTTTAAGCACCCACATTTATGGGGACATTAGAGAATAATCATACTTTTAAATATTTCCCTGTTTTTGGTGATTTTATTCTCTTAATGGCTGTGCCATTTCTGGTAAAGAGGCAATTTTATGTTTCATACAGTTTTCTCAGGCATTTCAGAGAGTCTTAATGCATTATGCACTTTTAGAAAACAACTTGTTGCAAATTTTATTAATGTTTGCTTACAGTATGAGTTAATTCAGTGCCGCTAATAGTCTCCTTAGTAACCATCACTAAAACTTTGGAGCAGCGCATCACAAAAACTTGTGATGATCCAATTTCTGTATCGAAATTGTCCAGAACGGTACCCATTAGACTGCTGTGGTATTGACCATTTGATGTGTGAATGGTGTGAGGGGAGGAGCTGAATTATTTAATGTAATTTTAATTGAATTTGAAATAGTCACATATGATTACCTGCTAGCAGGGCTGAGGATGTAGCTCAGTTTCGCTGCTCCTGCCTCTTAGCTAGCTATATACTGTACGGAACAGGTTGAGAAAATGTCCTTTGACAGTTTTCTCGGTGCTCACTGACACATGCAGAAGAACTATGTGTTTATCTCTGAATTTCCTAGCAGCCTTTGCAGTGTGACCCATGAAATGTTTTCTGTTTTGTAATCTACCATAGTTATAAAAGCTATAACAACAGTTATACAAAAGCTATTACGTTTTCTAGGATGTGTAAAAATAGGTAGTGATTCCAGGTAGATAGTAATATTAATCATAGGAGACTAACATTCAATACTTTTTGTGTGCTTTTTTTTCAGCGATGGAAAATAATGTCCTGCAAGATGAGGATTGAACAACTGAAACAAACGATATGTAAAGGAAATGAAGAAATGAAGAAAAGTAAGTAATTTGCCTCCCTTGCTCCAGCCTTGATAACGGGTTCCTGTGGAATTTCATGGGACTGATACTCTAGGGCCACTTGAAGAGAGGAAAAGTGGGGACAGGTGACTTGGAAAAGTTTATGACAAGCTGAATATCCTTTATTTGAAGTGCTTGGAACCAGAGTGTTTCAGATTTTGGATTTTTTATATTTGCATATACATTAATGAGGTAGGAGCCATGTCTAAAAACAGAATTCATTTTTGTTGTATGTGCATCTTCAATGCATAGCTTTGAGGTCATTGTATATAATATTTTCAGCATACCTGTACTATGTGCCTTTACATGAGGTCAAGTGTGGAATTTTTCACTTGTGACATGATTTTGGCATTCAGAAAATTGGATTTTGGAGCATTTTGGATTTCAAATTTTCTTGTCAGTGATGGTCAACGAGGACCTGCCTTCCTTTCTACTTGTAAAACATTTATATAAAGAATTTGTATCAACATGAGGTGATAGATGCCTTCAGTAATCTGCTGCCTTTCTCAGGTAAAACTTTAAGGAAGAGGTGGGGATGAGCTCAGTGCTAGAGCTCATACTTCTTATGAGTGATGCCCTTAGTCTAGTCCCAAGCACGACCAAACAAAACTGTTAAAGAATATTTGCTCTCCTTCACCTTAGCTAACTTGATACACTTGGTAAACTCAAAATAATCATCAGTTTATGGCAGGAGCATCAAATACTGGCTTTTCTTCTTATTGAATCTCCTACATATTTTATTTTAATTGTACTGATTTTATATTACATTTGAATACTTTATACTGTGTCATAGGTGGTTATCAAAATTTGAGTCCTCTTAGAAATCTTCATCCTTAGAAGCATGTATTTCTGATGAGAGTGTTAGGCTTTGAGTGAGTTACCTAGCAAGCCTCATGAATCCTCTTCCTGTCTTCAGATGTAGGTACTTACAGAATGGTAATCAAAGCTTCCTTTGACAGTGTTTGTGCTCAGGAAGTCCTCATGTAGAGTTGCTCAGGATGAACAGGTTAAAGAAGCAGGGCAGCATGATACACAGGCACTCAGTGCTGCAAGCAGCCAAGGGTCACTTGAGCTCTTCTTGCCTTCTCCACAGGCTTGCGTTCAGTAGCAGGATGGGAACTTATTAGTAAACATTGGCTTCATCCTCCTTCCCCATCCTCCATGGTGTTCAGACCAAGCTTTGCCCCCAGGCATCTGTGAAATGTCTCAAAGTACAGAATGTACCGAATATGCACGTATTGCTGATGAACAAGTTTAAAGCTTTGATCAGTTCTTTTTCATAGGTTCCTAACTCTCAAAGCAAAAATTCCAACCACATAAAAATCATGGCCCCTGCCAACGAAATGGTTTATACCAGTAATCCCAATACTAGCTAGGAGACTGGGGGAGGAGGGTCACAAGTTCAAGCCCAACCTGGGCAACTTAGCAACTTGGCCAGACCTGCCCACCCCACCTCCCTGGCTCCTTCCCTCCCCTCCCCTCCTTCCTTTATTTTGATTTTTTGAGATAGGGTCTTTCTGTGTAGTCCAGGCCATCTTTGAGATCACTGTGTAGCCCAGGCTGTCCTTGAACTCATGGCAATCTTCTGCCTCAGCCTCCTGAATGCTAGGTTTGTAGATGTGTGCCACCACACCTGGCCTGGACCCTGTTTTTAACACAAAAATAATGGCTGGAGCTATAATTCAGTGTGAAGGCTTTGGGTTGAATCCTCAGTACCAAACTACATGCCCCGCCCCCGCCCCGACCTTAAAGCAGTGAACTCTAACAGGTTTCTATCCCTAGCAAATCATCAGTCACCTGATGACCCTTTTTATGGTTTACAAAAACCTGGCTCAACCCTAGACATATGTGAATTATCACAGTTTGAATGTCATAGCCACATCCTCTTGCCATGTTTGGGAAAAGGTTTCCACATGCTTATTTTGGATTTCTGGACTTGTTTGGTCATGCCGAGGATCAAACACAGGCCAAGTACATACTAGGCAAGTGTACGATCGTCAAGCTACACTGTTGTCCTGTGCTTCTTTTGTCATGACTGTAAGTTTGTAGAGTGGCCTAGGTCTGTTTCCCTTACTTTGAGCAGCACTACTCGCGGGTGGCTCTGATAACCTGTCAGGGTTGAAAGCTTCTGCTCTTTAGAAAGGAAATGGAGTCTTGTTTCCATGTTCTAGACCACACTGGCAGTTTTGCAAAGAATTACAAATTATCAGAAGTGATGCTTGGACTCAAGTTCATGGATCAAAAGGCTTGCTACCCAATAGTCTGTAAAACCGTTGTTGAAATAGCATGTGTTCACGTAATGGGTATGAATTATAAACTGTAGAGCCTGATGAGTTACTTTCCCAGTGTGTTTTGATTTACAGTTTCATGATACAGTATGATATAGATACATTATATAGCCTAGATAGGGAAGTTAGGTTATAGCAATTGTGGGGTTGAGTTAGTTGATCTCTACTGCAGCCAGAGCTACTTATCCAAAGAAGCAAGATCAGATCACAGTAATAGCATGAGACATTCTGATATTTTGGGGGAGATGGCAGGGAGAGAAGGACAGCTCTGAGTTCTAAACCACCACTGGTTGCAGTTGGGGTGACCATGATGATTTCTTGCCACTTTGGATGAGTTGTGATAGTAGATTTGAAACAGTGCTAAAAGATATGTCTGACTTGGGACTGTGGCTAGACAGACCGATGTGGATACCTGTAAAGAGCTCAGTAGAGATCATGAAAAAGATTGAGCTCCCTGGAGAGTAAGTTAATGATAGAACCAAGAGACTGAACCTTTAGGACATTCACATTGATCAGGGACAGTAAAGAGATGTATCTAAGGAAAAGCAGCTATAAGAATTCTGAGGCCTGCAGCAGAGGTCCTCAGGAAGAAGGCAGTTTGGTTGCATGGACCCTGAAATGTGTATTGTATTCTAGTCAGGAGAGAGGCTTGGGTGGGACCTGGTGTAAGGAACTAAGAGCTGTGTGCCATAGGAAAAGTCTGAACACATCTTAGAGTTCTGAGGAGCAGGTCTGGGCTGCATTTATGGAATGGTCCTTGCTGGGTGGGTAACATCTGGAAATTGGGGGAATAAGAGGAAATAGCAGCTCCTGAGAGATATTGGACAGCAGTATGGAGATCAGTGTGTGTGGGGTGACGACTGGTTCAGTGTTCATTCATTCCCTGTTTAAGTGGTTCCATCTTGTGGAAAGAATCTGAAGGGTGGAGTAAGTAAGCATGAAGGGTCTGCACAGGGAGATATGAGATACTCACCAGTTTGGGGGTGACCTGTAGCTGAATAGCTGAGTTTTGCTTGTTGTTTATAATAATTTTGTGAGTGAAAGAGGGCATGACTGCCTGGAGTCCAGCCAAGCTGGAGACATGGAGCATGCACGAGAGGTGACTAAGGTTTTGATAGTAGGAATAAAAAACAAAACAAAACCTTGGTAGAAAGAACTGGAGGACAGCTAGGGAACAGTGAGCAGCTCTAAAATAAGGGTGAAGTTGGGAAGCTGGCTTCTAATGTACTATTTGGAAATTTTTCTGGTAAAATAATAAACTTGTTTTTGAACCTGAATGTGATTCCTAGTTTTCTGTCTGAGAATATACAATGTGTCATTGTTACTCCAGTGAAATTTTGCTTCAGCCCAACAGCCCTTGCAGGTCTTAGGATCCAGAACCTGAAAGAGCTCCACAAATGGGGCCTAAGTCTGCCAGGGCACATGCACCCCCGTCACGTGGAACAGCGTCTGTTTTCCCTGCAGCACGTCAAGCGTCTGTGTTCAAACAGCTGTGCACACACTGCTTCCCCTCTGCCAGGTGCTGCTGCACTCGGACTGTTCAGAGCTCTGGGGCTGCTCTATTGCCTGTTCTAGTGTGAGATCATTCCTGGGTCCCTGATTCCAAGCCAGGGCACCTCTAAGAGGTTTTTAAGGAAAATTAGATCATCAGTTTTTCAAAATGGAGTTAGACATCTTTCTGCCCAACATGACTATTCTTGGGTGCTTACTGTAAGAAACTCAGGTAATTCCTTTGCTAAACCCAAACCTAGTAGGAGACCATGGTCATGTTAGCAGTGATCTCTGCTTTATGTGTAGGATTTCCATGTCATGAACAGTAGTGGGTTTCATTGAGGTTTTGCTTTCATTTTAAATTGTTAATTGAAATGCTTGTGGGTGGGGGTTCTGCACTACACGGAAACTATTTGCAGAGGTAATTGTTGTGATTTATGTATCTTAGATTCAGAAGGTCTTCTCAAAACCAAGGAAAAGAACCAGAAGCTTTACAGTCGAGCACAACGGCATCAAGAGAAAAAGGAGAAGATTCAGAGGCACAACCGAAAACTTGGTGACCTGGTAGGAAAAAAAACTGTTGACTTAAGAAGTCATTATGAGCATCTTGCAGACCTTCGGCGAGCCCACATTCTAGAGCTCACCTCTGTCATCTTTCCAATTGAGGAAGTAAAGACTGGTGTAAGGTACAGTACTTTTGACTCTAGGTGTGTCACTAATGCACTTTTTGGGCCTCACTCAAGGATCACTGGTTTTCCTCATTGTGAACCCTAAATCTTACCTACTTTAGCAAACAGTGCACTCTGCATAGCGGAGGCGGGGGGTGGGCCTGCATGTATGTAGTCACGGAGCTTCCAGGTGACAACTGAGTCATATCCCTAGTTTGCAAGCACGTGCTGGCTCTCGTTGGTTTTGTTCTCAGCCAGGCTGTTTATTACTCCGTGCTGTGAGGTGCGTACTTTTACCTCAGTCTATTTCGTCATCTGTTAAATGGGGATTGAAAAATACTACCTACTTCACCACGAAATGAGCTAATATGGCAGAAACACAGAATGCTTTGAACCTGGTAGACAGTGGACAACACATGCTGCCTTAGCTTTTTCCTGGTAAATGGCGTTTATTGCTTCTGCTGAGTCTGGACACCCCCCCCCCGAGATTGGACCGAGGGCCTCTACACTGAGCTACAGCTACAGCACCTTTTTGAGACAGGGACTTGTTAAGTCATAAAGTTACTCAAGCTGGGCTTGAATTTGGATCTGTCTGCCTCAGCCTCTCAGAGTTCTGGGATGACAAGTATACACCGCCACACCCGGCTTGTAATACTCCGTTGGTGCTATTGGTGATTGGTAGATTTAGAAATTACTGCCAGAGGCCTTTGTGCTCTCATAACCACTGGGCTCCTGGGCTCTGGAGGCTTTGGTCTCTCTTGGTGCTTTCCTCTCTTGCACTTTGGACTGGCTCTGATGGTGGGCTCCTGCTAGGCTTGGTTTCTTCCTTCTTCAGTCTGGCTTTTTGTCTCTTTCCATACTTGGGTGCATACAAACTGATAGTTCTGATTATTTTGCTTCTACCTTGAAAATCTGCTTTGACTTTTGCCAGGTAGTTTGTCATTTGTAAGAGTTAGCAAATAGAAAAACAAACAAAAAAGGCAGATTTAAAATACAGCAGAATAGAAACTTCTAAGGAGACATTTTGGATTAGTGGAGAAAAGTTGGATTATTCAAAAATTGGTGTAAAGCTGGGTATGGTGACATATGCCTGTAATCCTGAGGATTATACTTGGGAGGCTGAGGCAGGAGGATCACTGAGTTCGAGGCCAGCCTGGGTTAGCCTGAACTATACACCAAGACCTTATCTCAAAAAAAAAAAAAAAAAAAAAAAAAAAATGGTGTAAAGACAGCTGGCTGGCCAGGCTTTTGAGAGGGTAAAGGTGATGAAACAGAAATATTATGCCACATTTAATTCTGACAGGTCACTGATATCAGTATTAAAACACACTACAGTAGAGACAGACAAAGGTGCTGTTCCACATGTTAGGAGACCAGTGACTGAATGTGTTGTATGATCCTGGCTTGGATTCTGAACCCACACGAAGATATCAGCAGGACAGTTGGAGCCACATAGTTCTGTAGAAGAACTTCTGAAGAAGTTCTGTAGATGAGTTAACAGTATCATAGTAGTGTTAATTACTTGATTTTGCTCATTATATTTTTCTGTGTTGATAATAGGGAGAAGTTTGGTGAAGTAAATGTAGGAAAGCTTTAAAATTTGTGTAACTTTCTGTAAGGCTGACTATCTTTTCTAAAAGAAAACATGTATATATACAGTCATGTGTCACATAACTTTTCAGTCAGCAACAGATCACATATACAATGGTGGTTCCACTAAGATTTCCACCTGGTGATGTTTCGGTTTTCATAGTTTGTGTGTGTACCTTCCATGATGTTTGCACAGTGATAAACTTGGCTAATAATGCATTTCTCACAACAGCTCCCCTTAAAGTGGTGTATGACTGTCTAGTACATATGTACTAGGAAAGAAAATGAGAAGACTTTCCCTTCTGTGTTGGTACTGTTTTATAATCAGTTTTTAAACACAGTGCTTTTGAAATTAGCACTATAATATGATTTCCTGTTCACTTGCATTTCTCTAAACTTTTTTTTATAAGCTATAAAGTTTTTATGACTAGGTCTAATAAACGATGAGCAATATACCCCTTATAAATTGATAAACATAGAAGTCATATCATTGAGAGATATAAAGAATACACAAATAAATGGAGAGAGATACCGTCTTTGTTGATCCAGCATAAAGATGGCTGTTCTCAAATGAATTTGTAAAATCAGTGCAATTCCTATCAAAATACCAAACAATTTTGCAGTCAATTTGCATGTCAGAACTACAACTCCATAGGCTATACATGTTTACAAACAAGTTTTTAATGAAAATCTAAAACAACATATTTTATCTAAAATACACCTTTAATAGAATCCAAGTCAGCAGAAAGACCTCTTTTGGCTGATTCTGAATTATAGCTGAATGATAAAAAGCCACAAACAGACAAGGCACACCTGAAGAAGAATGGGAAGGGCAATTTGGTATGGAAAGTGTTAGGCATAAACTTTCTTGAATGGAAGAAGAAAGGTAAGAAGTACAGCTCATAGTTGGCCACAGTGCTGAATCTTACCTGTGACAGCCAGTAGCAGTTAAGTTGTGGTATGTTGAGGGAGGAAAAAAACACGAAGAACCACTTGGTGCAGGGAAGGAGTACAGGCTCAGGAGGCCTTTCCCAGGCTGCCCTCATCCTACTGACTTTTCCATAACCTGGCATTCCCCGTGCATCTTACACGCCAGCCACACTGGACAACTCTTTTCTCCAAACATCATGTTCTTTCCCCTCACTGCATTTGTACCTGCAATGACTTTTTTTGTGTGTGGTACCAGGGATCAAACTCAGGACCTTGTGTTTGTGAGGCAGGTGCTATGCCACTGAGCTAAATCCCCGGCCTGAAATGGCTTTTCATAGTGGGTTTCTGTTCTGCCTTTCTGGGCAGCAGGCCCCTGAGACCCATTTGAAGTCAAGAGCACCTTTATAATAATACTGATAAATGTGTTCATTTTCACTGTGCTCACATTTGCACTGGTGGTTCAGAAGCCATGGTGACTATAACACCCCTGGCCCTGTGCACATGACACATTTGGGGCAGGGACACCAAGGTGCAGTAATCATCGTTAGGGTTACTACAGGTTTGTGATAGATAAAAAAGAAAACAAAAAACTAGTTTCACTTAAGAATTTCCCTGAAGAAACAGTAAAAATCAGTAGTTTTTTTGTTTGTTCAGACAGGGTCTCGCTGTGTAGTTCAGACTAGCCTTGAACTTACTGTGATCCTCCTGCCTCAGCTTCCCGAGTACTGGGCTTACAGGTGTGCACCATCATGCCTAGCTTAGTGTCATCAAATTTGGCCCCTGGAGTATGTGTCCATGTGCACTATGGGATGAAAGGGGAGTGAGCAGGAAGCACTCTTGCTGTGCACTGAAGCATGGTGGTTGGCGCACAGACAAGCATTGGATTGACCTGCACGCTGGATTTGCTGCTGTTCTTGTGGGATGCTGTTTTTACTTGAAAGAACAACTGGTAGAGTTTAATTTCATCTTGTGAAAAAGAGTTCTTTTCATAGAAACCTGTTACCATATACTGTTATTTTTTAGTGAATCATTGAAATTTTTCTCAGTTTTAATTTCTGATACAGCAAATGGTTTAACAATATAGGCAGACTTCACTTGGGTTCTGAAAACAGTTTAAGCATGGACAAGGATGTGGAGAAGAGAATTTGAGATGCTGATACCTTAGAGCCTGCTCCGTGTGTCCCCTTCCTCACATGTGTGAGTTAAATTCCTGTGCTCAGGGCCAACTTTGCATTGCTCTGTCATGTATGACAAATATAATTCCTGCTCTTAGTAACCCCACCTGTCTGGGGGATCGTTGTGATGAATGGAATCCCACCACTCTGGCAGGCTGAGGCAGGAGATCAAAAGTTCCAGCCCAGCTTGGGTGACTTAGTGAGACCCTGACTCACAATGAAAATAAGTAAGGGCTGTGATATGACTTAGTGTGAAGGCCCTGGCTTCAGTCCCCAGTGCAGCAAAAACCAAAAAATAAAGTCTGTCTCCGCAACATGAATGTGCTTCTGGCTTTTAGAGACCCTGCAGATGGGTCTTCAGAGAGCGACAGTGCCATGACTTCCAGCACTGTGAGCAAGCTTGCCGAGGCCCGGAGGACGACCTACCTCTCAGGACGATGGGTCTGTGATGACCACAATGGCGACACCAGCATCAGCATCACGGGGCCCTGGATAAGCCTGCCGAACAATGGGAACTACTCTGCCTACTACAGCTGGGTGGAAGAGAAGAAAACCACGCAGGGGCCTGGTAAGAGGCAAAATGGTTGAGAATTGTGTGTGTGTGTGTGTGTCTGTGTGTGTGTGTCTGTGTATTGAGATAAGATAAATATATCAAAATCAATTTGAAAGTGAACAGTTCTGGGGCATTCAGTATTCAAAACATTGTGCGCCCATCACCTCTGTGCAGTTGTAAAGCATGGTTGTCGTCCTGGACTGAAAGTGTAGCATGGCACCCCAGGTTATTAATGGAGTCAGAGATTCTGTGTGTCCTTTTTATCTGGCTTCTTTCACAGGGTTTACATTGTGGAATATATTAGTTGTCCGCTGGTGTTTGTGGCTCAGTAATACTCCATTATATGGTTATACTACATTTTATCTGTTCATCACTTGATGGACTGAAAACATGTTTATTTTTAATTTATTTTTTAATTTTTTTGGTTGTTTGAGATGGTCTCAATATATAGGTCAGGCTGACCTTGAACTCACTATATAGCCCAGGTTGGCCTAGAAATCATGGCAATCCTCCCGCCTTAGTCTCTGGAGTGCTGGAATTGTAGGTGTGCACCACCACATCCAGCTGAAACATGCATTTTTAGATATTCACCTTTGGGGGTTAATACTGCTTTATTTATATAAAAAAGATCTCATTTAGTAACACATTTAGCCTATGAGTTCTATTTTTAGTTTATAACTGTTACTGTTTGTTTAGCAGACCAAACTGGAAACTGAAGTACCCTAATAGAAAAACCCTTTAAAACTCCTGTAGTTTCTCTTAGATGGAGGAGGATTGCTCATTTAGTCATTCAGCAGATATTTAGTGAGCACATGCTTTGTCATGAATAGTGCTGGGTGCTGGTAGTACAAGGTGACCAAGACAGGTGTGGCCCTTTGCCCTTCTCGGGTGAGTAAATGGTTAAAATAAATGGTCAGAGGCCCCATATGTACCGCGGGTTCTGTGGGAGCCAGTGGTCTTCTAGAGTAGGGCAGGGTAGCAAAGGAAGGGATGTCTTTTCTGTTGAGTAGTTTGGAAAGGACTCTAGGAAGGTGACATTTAAGTTGGCATTAATTGTTCTGATACTGCATTTTCAGGCCCAAGTGGTTCAGACTCCAATTTCCTTCCTGGCTGGCTGAGTTTTAGGCTCATTTGTTTATGTTACATTGTGCTCAGAAAAAAAAGAAAAATGGAAACAAAGTCTTGATAAATAGGGTGGAGGGAGGGGTTGAAGGGAGGGCAGGTGAATGGGGGAAAAACAAGAACCAAGGTATATCATAGAAAGGTACAAATTCCCAATGATGAATGCCATCATATTGTATACCTAAAATGTACTGATACACTTGATGAATAGAAAGAAAAAATAACTAAAACCAGTAGACCTTTATGTCCAGCCATGGAGTAGGAAATGCAACTTAACCACCAGTAATGTAATGATAAAGTTACAAATCATAAAATCTTGGTTCATTAATATTTTGTTAAAGTTAAAGGTGCTGTGTGACTGTTCTCCTTACCCTTTAGACATGGAGCATAATAACCCTGCCTACACCATCAGTGCTGCACTGTGCTATGCCACTCAGCTGGTCAACATTTTATCTCACATACTCGATGTCAATCTTCCTAAAAAGCTGTGCAACAGGCAAGTAATTGAAGGTGGCGATGTCTTCTGTACTGTGGATCTGTCAAGTTTTTGTGAGTTCTTAATTCCAGTTAAGCCAAAGATAAGAATTTAAGTATTAGAAAGCCAGAAATGTTGATAAAAATATTCAGATGTTTCATTATCTTTTTTTGTTTTTTTGTTTTTTTGAGATGAGTCTCACTATGTAGTTTAGGCTGCCATTCAACTCACTATGTGTCCAGGCTAGCCTCGAACTCACAGCGATCCTTCTGCCTCGGCCTCCTGAGTGCTAGGATTACAGACATATTTTATCTTACAGTTGCTTGTAAAGTCTCAGAAGACCATAGAGAGTCTTCTACTTAAAATAACTGATGGAAAAATATTATTCAGAGAGAATGCTGTAAATGTAAGAACTGGGTGAATTTTAACAGTTGGAGTTTGTATTTTTTTAATAGAAACTTCATATGTCTCTAAGATTTTTTCAGTTTCTTTGCTTTTATTATGAATATAAAATATAAATACAATGCAGTATACATTTACATATTTATAATTTGCAATTCCTTTCATCCTGGTTTTTTTAAATTAAACTCAGGTCTGCATGGCTCTAATGCCCTTCACATACCCTCCTGACATTCTTTCACCTTAGTACCCTGTGCCACTTGGTCAAAGAAAAACAAAACCAGGCCCAGAAGTGGAACGGCTGGCTTTACTGCCATTTCCATAGAATTGCTTTCAGTCTTTTGTTTCCTCTACTCTTACTACATGTCTTCCATTGCTCATTCAAATGTCAACGTTAGAAGTTCCGAAGAGAATATGGCTACAATAATCTCCTTTGTCTTTTCAAAATACCTTGAAATCTCTTGTGTGAGTGAGGACACACAAGTGGGCACTTAAGAGCACTGCTCATTCGTATGGTGTAGAACTGTTTATAGGAAGGCACTGAATGTGTTACGGTTAAATTGTAAGTTTTGCTTACCAAATGAATGCTCCTGAAAGTCTGAATATCAGTGTCACAAAACTAAACAGGAATAAAAAAAGTGAGTTTCACTAAAGGGAACTTAAACACCTACAACCCCGTGCTTCCTTGAAACTTCATTAGGTACTTCTTCATAACAGATTGGTAACAGAAGCTGGATTTTAGGGTTGTTCACTCTGCTTTGGGGCCACCCCTTCAAGATGCCAGTGAGTGGGGCTGGGGATTTAGTTCAGTGGTGCTGCCGCCTGCCTCACAAAAGCTAGTGAGCTGCTACAGGTGAAAGTTGCTCCTAGAATGTTTGTAGCTGTGCAAGAAGTTTTATAAAAGTTCTCCTTAAAAGACTGTCGAATATTGCTTTGGTTGCATTCTACCAGTGGAGCACTAGATCCATTGGGGTCTTCTCAGCATAGTTCTTTTTTTTTTTGGTACCAGGGATTGAACTCGGGTCCTTGTGCTTGCAAGGGAAGTGGTGGAACCACTAAGCTAAATCCCCAGCCCTAAAGATTCATGTCTAGTGCACTAGGTAACTCCATGCACCTGCATAACTTTTTTTTTTTTTTTTTGGTACTGGGGATCGAACTTGGGACTTTGCGCTTGCAAGGCAGGTGGCGGAACCACTGAGCTAAATCCCCGGCCCTCAGCACAGTTCTTGATGTTGAGGTTGGCGCTGTACATAATCAGGAGTCTGAGCATCTTATAACGATTCAGTACCACAGCGGCATGTAGAGGGGTATCTTCTTCTCTGTCTTTGGAGTTGAGATCTGCCTTGCAGGCAGTAAGGTCTGTGGTCACTCATAGTGGCTGGTCCTCATAGCGCCATGAAGCATTGTCCTGAGAAGCTTATCTCAGGCGCTGATTTTTGTACCTTTGTTCAGCAGTAGTTTTAAGACATCCAGGCTTCCTCCATGGCGTGCCCAGTGGATGGCTGTGGATTCAAGGATATCATGGAATTTGATCTGGGCCCCAGCTTCTGTTCTCTACCATTGGAAATGTTCTTCCAAGCATGCTCTATGAAAGGCTTTCTGTCCATTTTACTCATCACAGACATCTGGATTGTTCTTGTCTGACAAGAATTTTTTGATTACTGGTAGTTTATTCTCCAGAGCAGCCCTCAGAAACTGAGGGACATCCACAGGTTCTGTGATGATTTGATTTTCTGGTTCCTTCACAACTGGAACTTTAGTTTTCCTGTATTTTTTTTGTTTTTGTTTTTCCTCAGTTGAATGATCATTTCAAGGTCTTCCAAGTTTTCAAGCTTTGATCTTTGTTCTAGTTTTTTCTTTTTGAGCTCTATCTTGCTGTTTCTCACTTTTCCACTGTTGCCCTGCCAGGCCACATGATGGCCTGGAAGAGTTTTCTTGCTTCTCCAAAGTAATAGCAGTGTTATATTCTCCATCTCTTTAATCCCCAGGAAGGAATTCCCTTGCCTCCCCATTGCTGCTTTTCTTCCCTGTGACCAGCCACTGCAGTCTGCTTTGTCTCCATTCCATTGTCTTTCTTTTAGCTTTCCTGGTGGGTTTCATTTCTCAACACCAAACCTTGGAGAGGCCCTCTCTGCGCTCATCACTCCACCATCTTCCTGAGCTCAGAACAATGGCCTTTCTGCAGGCCACCTCTGTCTTGCCCTGGGTGCCTGTCTTGTCCCAGCTGGGCAGTCTCTCTTCCTGTAGTTTTAAATTTAAAAATTAGCCAGGTGTGATGGCTTCTCAGAAAGCTGAGGCAGAGGATGGGAAGTTTGAGGTCAACCTGGGGAACTTAGAGAAACCTTGTCTTAAAATAAAAGGGGGCTTAGCACTACTGTGTTCAGTCTCAGTATTGAAAATAATTTTTTTTTTTTTTTGGTAATGGGGATTGAAATTGGGACCTTGTGCTTGCCAGCCAGGTGGCGAAACCACTGAGCTAAATCCCAAGCCCTGAAAAGAATTTTTTAAAACTACTTAACAGTTTACCCTGAGTAATACTTGGGCAGTGCATCTGTTTGCATGCTATCGTGAATGTCGCTTGGGTGGGTGTCATTTCAACCAGTTGATTCTTGTTTTCACGAGACACATTTGTTTGTCTGTTTATTTGTTTTATATCAACTGTTTTTTTGCATACTTTATTTGTAATGGTGTATTTGCCTTTGATGTTGTTTCTAGTGAAATCTAGTAAGTTCTAGTTATTTTCTTTTACTAATTTGTGTTTTATTTGTGAAAAATAACCTATAATTTTGTGCTACAATGTAAAAAAACTTCTATTATAAATACATTTGGCATAATTTTTATATTTCTCCAGAACTCAGTGATAGTCCTTAGAGATGTCTTTTTCTTTTGTTGGTACCAGGGATTGAGCTCAGGACCTTGTGCTTGTGAGGCAGGCAGCAGAACCACTGAACTAAATTTCCCCCGCCCTTCAGTGATATTCCTTTACAATACAAAACAAACACATTTGGGACACTGAGACTGAATAGGAAGAAAGTGCTAAAAGATCTGCAGAAGAAAAACCTGAAAAAGGAAGAAATACTAGTGTGTCTGTGTTATGAAATGGAAAGACAAGACATCTCCTTATTGTCAGCTATTTATAGAGAAGTGATAGAACTTGAAAGAAGAAATGAAACTAAAAAAATTCCAATAGTGGTCAATGCTTATTATAATTCTATGAGTATTGACAGAAGTTGACAACTATTGACAGAGTTGACCAATATCTAAGAAGCTACCCTGTAATCAAAAAGTGAGAAAAAAATATTATAAAATATTTATGAACCTTGTGGACCAAACATTATGGAACTCATTTGTTATTTATTCAAAACGAGGCTCAAAAAATCATACACAATTTAGATTAGGTCTAATAGATCAAATAATTGAAAAACACAGGATAGGAAAACGCCAACCAGGATGTCTATCATTGATGTCTTCACCATTACATTTAGTGGGTAGACATTTTATTGAAATTATACCACTCACAGAAAAAAAGAAAAGGCCAACACAACAGTGTAAAATGTGTTGTTCAAAGAAAGATAATACAGTACTGCAAAAAGAATTCAGAAAGAGAGTAGATATTACAGGAGATTGTAACATTGCATTCTGTATTGAATTTTTAACCTTAAAAAAAAATTAGTACATGTTTTGCATTCATGCAGTTTACAGTCATCTTGGGAGTGGTTACTTGTATTGAATGTTTTAAGACATACTGTACACAGGAAAATTATTGGATAAATTTGATAAAATCATTGTAAAATTTCTTGTTATATTATCTTATAAAATTATTTTAAAATGCAATTTTTGGTCGTCCTGTATTTAAGTAATTAGACAGGGAAGTGGTTAAAGATATGGAAACAGTCTACCCAGTTCCAGCTAAAACCTTCCTTTCACCTTCTGTGGGTTTCAAGCAAACATCCCTTATTATCTGTCTCTAGTAAACACACATGGTAGCATCCTAAAGTGTTCTGCACTTGCCTTTTTGTGCCAGACACTGTTCTAAAACTGGGGTACATTGGTGACAAAAGCATAATCCCTGCCCTTTGAGAGGTTGCATTCTGTGGGAGACACAGATCATGGGCTGGGAGACAGCACAATAGGCACGTGGTGACAGGTGCCATAGAGAGCACTGAAAGAGGGTGGGGGCACCCTGGCTGTGTGTGTGGGGGGTCTTGCTGTCCACGATGGGCAAGAGTGTGGTCCTGTGTGGGTCTGCAGCGGGGAGGGACGAGCCATGAGGGTCTCTGAGGAAAGCGGAGTGACCGGCCAGTGCCAAGCCCCGGGAGGCGTGAGCACTAAACTGAGCCGCAGAGAAGGTAGAGGGGGAGGAGTGTGCATCATGAGGGCTGTTGTAAGCTTACAGCTGTCGTCTGCGCACAGTGGGCAGTTGCACCAGGATCCTGCTGGTCCCCTCAGATACTTCTAGGAATAATCTTGTCCATTTCTGTTCCCTTTGGATTTAAATATTTGTGGAGTGTAAATTCCTGAAGTATAATGGCTTGGTGAGCAGGTAAGTATGATTGTCATTTGTATAGGTGCAGTAAATTGCTCTCCCCAAGGGCAGCGGTTTTTTAGAAAGTGTCTGTGAGGAGCAGTTTACTAGGGAGGCAGTCACACAGGGAAGACTGTATATGAACTGTAGTGTAAGCCATAATCTTCAAGTGAACCTTGTAAAAGAATCTTCTGAAAAAATGTTTTTCAAACTTGTGTTTGTTTTACAGTGAATTTTGTGGAGAAAATCTCAGCAAACAGAAGTTTACTCGAGCAGTGAAGAAACTGAACACAAATATCCTTTACCTTTGTTTTTCTCAGGTGTGGCAAATGTGTTTTGAATCAATATTTAATTTGTTACATAGTTGAAAATATTAATCAACTGTTTGCTTTTTCTAGCATGTAAATTTGGATCAGTTACAACCACTGCACACCCTCAGGAATCTCATGTACCTGGTTGGCTCAGGCTCAGAGCACCTGGGCAGGTAAGAAGGGTGTGTGCTTCCCTGACTGCTTACAAGTGGAGTGGTTTTGCTGCCCGAGGACTTACTGTTCCCCAGTCCCAATTTCTCCAGTAGTCCTTTACTGAAAGAATAACAGATGATCATATCTGAACCTTAATGGTTCTTTTATAGTAATTTCTTAGAGAAAGTTAGTATTGAACATGCTTAACCCTGAAATGCAGCAGAAGAACCCATGTTTCTGGAGCGGGACCTGTTTACGCATTCCCGGAAGACCAAAGAGCGCTTTTCCCTTCCTTGAGACCATGTCTCTTCTTCCTTATCCTGCCGGGTAGCTCCCCTGCTTCTCTTGGGTTTTCTTTTGAGCCCACTTGTTTCTTGCCCACCATAATAATTCTTAGCATGTTCTTTTTTTATCACTGAGTCAGTCTAGTTGCTTTTTGTTGTACATGAAGTTATTAGAAGATTATGCAGTGAACCAGTTTGAAATCCATTGGCTTAAAAACAAGTCAGTAACAAAGAAGACCAACTGAGTCTATGACCTGATCTGTGGATCTTTTTAGTCTCAGCCCATAAAAGCATGAGGTGGATGGGGCTCATCTTGGGTACCATAGAAGTCCTGCTTTGTGCTTGCTCTTAGCAGTGTCTGCACATCTCTGCAGAGATGGGGCAGGACTAATGGGTTCACACTTTGGAAGGAGAACTCAGAAACAGACGGTGTTAGAGGTTTGCATAGCCATGGGCTCAAGTGAGTGTTCTGAGTATGTTTAAGGAGGCTAAACTGGTGTTCGCTAAGTCTGGTGTATTAATTGCATTTCTGACTCACAGTATTTTCAACTGATGGGTTTACTGGAGTATAAGTTGAGGAGTATCTTTATAGAAAATGGTGAAATTTTTTATTCAGCATGCATCTTAGCCTGCTGTGCACTGTATGGGGGAGTGGGACTAAATGAAAGGTCTGAGACAATGAAATTGCTTATGATTTTCTAGATCAGAAGGCTCAGAATTACAGAAATGCAGTTTCTCCCCAAAAGGAACAGTGATAAGAATTTCAAAAGATACTTCACGGAGCTTTGACAAGCTGATTTTAAAGTTCAGCATAGTCTATAAGGAAATTTTGAAAATAAGTAATGAGGGTTGTTGGGCTTGGCCTTTTTCAAGACATAAAAGTTGATTAAAACAAGGTGCTTTTAACAAATAGCTAGAGCAATTAGAATAAAGACTTTTGAAGCAGATCTCTATACTGTGTATGATAGGAGTGGCATGTTCAGCTAATCATCACTCAGTAGTGTTGGGCCAGTTGGTATTCAAGTGGGGAAAAATTTGGATTTATACCACATTTCATATAGAAATTGAATTCCAAATGATATAAAAGATCTTATTTTTTAAAAAAACCTTTAAGTAAAAGGACAGTGTTCTATAATCATAGGGTGGGGAAAGAATTCCAAAGCCACAAAACCCAAAAACCATAAGGGAGAGGAATTACGAATTTTACAGTATAAAAATTCTCACCTGGGTGTGGTGGCATGTACCAGTAATCCCAGCACTCTGGAAGGCTAAGGCAGAAGGATCACAAGTTCAAGCTCAGGCTGGGTAAATTAGTGACTTTGTGAGACTGTTGAAAAATAGAAAATATGCTTGATCTTGGCCAAAAGGCTGAGAAGCGATGCAAAATAGAAAATAGAAAAAGGTCTGGGGATGTAAGTAAGGCTCTGGGTTTAATCCTCAGTACCACAAAAAACAAACACCTAAATGTTTCTAGTAAAAGTTAGCTTATCTTTAACAAAGTTAAATAGGTTTTGCCACATGTATAATAGACAAAAGATTAAAACCTAGGCTACTTAAATCTTTCAAATCAATGAAGGAAAGACACAATAGAAACAGACAAAGGATTCAAAGGTGCAAACAAAAGAAAGGAAAGTTGTTAGCTTCAGTCAAGAATAAGGAAATGCAATTTGAATCAATTTCCCATTATCAGTAATCAGTTTGAGAAAAATGAAAAGGATTGATGATATCCAGCATGGGTGATTGTTGGGAAAACAGGCAGTCTTTTATACTGGAGGTGAATTTTTTTAGTGGGTGTAAGGTTTCCTGTAACCACCGGGCATCCGTGGCACATGCTTGTAATCCCAGCACTAAGCAGGAGGCAGAAGGATCACCTTGAGCTCAAGGCCAGCCCGAACTACATAGATAGACCCTGTCTCAACAAAACAGAATTTCCCGTTAGCTTTTGTTAGCCCAGGGATTACCTTTTGGTCAGTTTCAAGGGCTGTGCCCCACTAAGCACACACACAGCTAGGCTGTTGGTCACATACCAGTTCGTGGACTGTGGCCGGGGTCAGGAAGTAGAGCTCTCAATGTCGGAAAGTGTAGAGGAGGTTGTGCAGGAGCCTGGGTGGGACTGACTTCCCGTTTCCAGCCACACCCGCAGATGTGGGTTTCCCATTCTGAATCCAGGATAAACTTTTTCTTTAAATAAAGTCGAACTTACAGAAGAATTGCGAGAAATAAAGATGGTGCAGCGATCCGTGCACCCCAACCAGATTCGCCTGCTGCTGCTGCCTCACCCCGTCTCTCATCGCCTGCGGGAGCTCTCCCTCCTCTCTCTGAGTGCACATGCATGCACATACACACACATGCTCACACACAGAGACATTACTTCCAGAACTCTGTGACTTACTGCATCAGGCTCTTGACCCTTAAGTACACTTTGCTGTGCATTTCCTGAAAGTGAGATATTCTAGGCCCACATCACAGTGATTGTCCTCAGCAAATTCAACATGGACAGAACACTCTCATTTGCTATCTATAGTTAGGAGATACAGATAGTTATTGCTATCTGCAGTTACTACACATGTTTTTTCACATCCTTTAAATCTGGAACATTTTCACAGCCTCCTTTTACAGTATCAACATTTTTTAAAAAAGCATGAACCCCTGTCCCCCAAAGACCTTTCCTTTGGAGTTTTTCTGGTGTTTCCTATAAGTAGATTAAGGCTGTGCAATCTAGAAAGGAATGCTGCCTGGGCGTGGTCTGTGACACCCCATTTCGTGGAGTAGAAATCTTGGTCCCCAGTCAGAGTGCTTTCCAGTTCCCTGCTGCATAGTTCCTGTGTGTGTCCTCTTTTGTGACTAACAGACAGCATGTGGGAGACACTCCAGCTGTACAGATACCTTCTGTCACAGTTTTCCCTGGATCGAGTGTCTGCTGGTGCTTCTTACCTGATCCAGTGTTCACCATGATGGCGTCTACATTAATACATCATCATTTTCAAAGAGATACTTTGCAAAAAAATTTTTACAAAGCTAAAAAGTTCATTTTTTTGCCTTTTTTTTTTTTCTGGTACTGGGGATTGAACTCAGGACTTTGCACTTGCCGGGAAGGCATGGAGCCGCTGAGCTACATCCCCAGTCCCTTTTTCGCCTTAATTGATAGACTAACTTGGTGCAGCATCACCAAGTGAGAAAATGAGCATGCTGGCTTCACTTTGGGGCCTTGGCTAAAAAGAAATCATGTATTCAACCAGACTAGAGATTAGAGAAATGACTTTATCATCTTCCTTTTCCAAGACACTAAGGAGAAAGGAATCCTTTTGCTACTTCATTCTGTGTGCTGTGTCTCTAGCTCGGAGTATGCCGGGTAGGAAGTACAGTGCATCTCTAATCTTCAGGTGACCGGGGCGGGGGGCACTGGGTGGAGAACCATCCCAGGGGCCTCTAAAAGCTCTCCCCTCCTGCTCATGTTGCTACTTGGGACCAAATCAGACCACACTGGCTACTTCAGGAATCTTCCATTTGTTCATTTTTCATTTTGAGCACTTAATTGAGCACCTGCTGCATGCCAAGTAGAATCTGCCCTATGGGAGTTCAAGCAGAGAACCAAGGTTGAGGGAAGCACCCTGCAGGAACTCTCTGCCAGAAAAAAGAAAAGGCTGTTGCTTCCCTGTGTCATTTCTGACTTTCCTGGGAAACCCTTAAAGAGGGGGTCTGGAAAAAGTGTCGAACCCATGCCTCTGAGAACCCCAGGAGGAGATGAGGCAGCATCAAGGAGGAAAAGGAAATGGGTGAGTCCTAAGTTCGAAGCCTTAACCTGACAGTGAATACCTTGGCAAAGCTAAACAGAACAGACTCAGCAGCCTTGAGGTAGGGACAGAGGTACGCCCATCTAAGGCATGTAAATTGTGAGTGCCACGGGGGAAGAGAGGCAGCCCTCCGAAATGAGGCAGGTAGGTGGTGAGGGTGAGGGGTGTGAGGTCCTGAGCTGGGGCGGCAGTGACGTCAGTTACTCCTGGTAACCCCAGACATGGAGCCTGGGGAGGAAGAACGAGTCCTAGCTGGCTTTGGGTTTCGAGAGTATTTGCTAGCTCAGTTACTGGAAATGAGTCTGAGGTAGTAACTCTCAGACCCAGAGAGATCAGGTGGGCAGGAATATATCAAGTAGGAAAGGAATAGGAAAAGATGACTTTGGAGTAGACTTGCTTGCCAAGGAAACAAGGAAGGCAGAAAAGGAATCAAATATAAGGAGAACCTTAAGGAAGTAGAAGTGGAATCTGTGGAGTTAAGGTACTGGTCGCAGTGCTCATTAGTTCTGTTTGGCATAGAAAGTTTCAAGGGGTGAAGAAGTTCCCTTCCCAGTGCTTATGAATCTCATGCTGTGAAAAATAATGATGTCTGTGCAGGTGAAGGCCTAGAAGACTTGGGAGACCCTGCTCTGAGGGGCTCTTTGAAAATGTGAGTTGCTCACCAGAATCAAGGAGAAAACCCTGTGGTTTAATACTTGTAAAGCCCCGAACGCCATGGTTAGAAACATACATGTTAGATTGCTGTATTCCTGCTAGGAAGCAAAGTTGTCTTGGAGAATGAGGGGTGCTTGACCTTGGAGAGAGTAAGCCACAAGGTAGGGATCTAATGAGGGGCGCTGGAGGCCATTACTGGTCTTCTGTCATTCAAGGGGCTGCAAGGCGTTTGGAGCCAAAGCCTAAACAGAGTAGAGTATTTCCATCTTGTTTTACTTACTTCAGAGTAATGATCAGTGAAACCCTAAATGAGCTGAGGCCTGCATGCTTATCTTGGGGGCACCAGCAGAAACACAGCCTGCTGGAGGGATTTGGTCCCACGCAAAAGTGGCTCCAGAACAATCTCTGGAGGAGGGCCGTGAATGCGAGTGCCTGCCCAGCCCCCCAGGCTGGCGTGACAGGCATTCGAAAGAGAGCAAGGAAAAGAAGCAGAAAAGCTTGTGTAGGGTTTGCCTGCGGAATGGTGCTGCAGAGCCTGACTTGGCTGTGAGGATGTCATAAAGGGCCCTTTGGGGGGAATAAAAAATAGTTTACTCCTGAACTACTGTGCAGAAAAATGCACTGTTACAGATGAGTACATTCTAAATAGTTGTCTCATTTTGTTTAACAAATGTGTCCCTGGAACATTAGACACTGATTTTTTAGGTGCCAGAGCCTGCTGTTGACAGTAATCTAAGAACCTTGGCTGATTTGCATATAATCATACCATTTTTTGAGCCTGAAGAGTTTTTTATAAGGGAGGTTCCATAAAGCAGGAAACATCTGTATAGTTTTCTTTATATGCCATTTACTAATTGTTATACTATACAATACACCAGAGTATACATCAAATAGCGACTTTTGTCAAGATTATGTCATCAGAATGCTATTTACTCCATGGATACTACGCTTGTTTAAAACAGGAAGTCATTCTTTGGACCACCAGCATGGGTTGTGTCTGTGGATGGATTTTCTTCTTTTTTCTTTTCTTTCTTTTTTTGGTACTGGGGATGGAACTTGGGTGCTTGCGCTTGTGAGGCAGACGGCGGAACCACTGAGCTAAATCCCTGGCCCTGGATGGATTTTCTCTTGTGCACAAACACCATAAGTAGAATTAAGGAAAAGTGTGATGTTGTGATTTTCTTCCTGACTTGGGCGGCAGTTATTATCTGGGCAAGGAAAACCTTACATAGAGCCACAGGGAGTGCAGTGGAGACTTGGGAAATGGTGTGTGGTAATGGTGGTGGGTCCTTGTGTTCCATAAGGTAGAATCTTAGGGGAGACAGCATCTGATCTCAGGTTGGGGAACAGTGCTTCTCACTTTCTGCACACAGGTCAGGACCCTTTGAAGTGCGAGCAGACCTTGAGGAGTCCATGGAATTTGTAGATCCTGGAGTCGCTGGAGAATCAGATGAGAGTGGAGATGAGCACATAAGCGATGAGGAAACTGATTTGGGCACAGACTGGGAGAACCTGCCAAGCCCTCGGTTTTGTGACATCCCTTCCCAGCCTGTGGAAATCTCCCAGAGCCGGAGCACCCAAGTGTCCCCACCTGTCTCAAGCAGCAGTGCAGGGGGGATGATCTCCTCTGCTGCAGCCTCAGTGACGTCCTGGTTCAAAGCTTACACTGGACACCGTTAATGGGCATGGACTGAAAACATGCCAAATCTGCATCAAGAAAGCTCTCCCTAGTAAAACTTACTTTATTAGTTAAGGTAGTGCTTGGAGACAAAAAGGACTGTTTGCAGCAGGGAGACAAGCAGTTTTGCTTGCCAGGTGGCCTACGATTTTGACCTGCGTGCTTATGGTAACAGAACAGAGGGTGTGGAGAGCCTTCTGCCCACACCAGCACTGGTGGGAGAAGGGCCAGTTCCATGAAGGAAAACATGCTCTGTACTCTTCTGGGTCCCAGGCCCCACACCACCAGGTCAGTGTTGTTCTTGTGATGCTGATACTAAGTTCTAGAGGTTGGATGAATCACAAGGAAGTGATCCTTAATGACTTGGAAAACAGTAACTGTTTTTCTGCCATTTTTTTTTCTTTTTTTCGGTAGAAAAATAGGCAATTTGAAAATTTTCATTTATTTTGTGTTCAGAATAACAGATTGATGTTTGGGAGGGGGTAGTTTCCTGAGGGCAAAGAATAATTTAAAACTCATTTGTGCTGCTCTGTTGTAACTCATCATATTCCTGTGTCCTCCGCCTCGCCGCCAAGAAGCTAAGGTCTGTTTGTAGGACACACACCCATGAACAGAAGAAGTCCTAGCTGCAGTAATGTCCTAGAGATGTTTACTTTCTTGTATTCTGTGGGGAAACTAAGCTCATTCTTAGCTGGTTTATTGAATTCCTACCATCCACACTATGTCCACTTTGAATGGAATTTATTTTTTATGAGTGAAAATAAGTTATAAAAACTGGGCTTGGTATTGCACACCTGTAATCCTACCACTTGGGCTGAGGCAGGAGGATTGCCATGAGTTCAGTGCCACCCTATGGTACATAGTTCAAGAACAGCCTGAATTACATAGCAAGACCCTGCTCCAAAAAAGTCATAAAAGTCCTTCCCTTGTGTAAGCTAAATGCCTTCCTGGGCATGGGTTCAAAGCTACTTAGCTAGGTGACCCCTGGTCATTTTCTCAGTGTCCCATTTCTTGAGGGAATCAGTAGGTGGAGGTGTTTCCAGGGAAAGTGGTCCTATTTGTGTGCTTCCTTGAGCTCCCCGTTCCTCTGAAGGCTGTATTTGCTTGGGAGGCACAGCAGATCCTTCAGGCTGGTACTGCTCTTTCCTGGGGAAAGCTCACAAAGAACTTCACTCACCAGGAGAACAGTTTCAGCTACTAATGTCTTGCCATTTTCTAAGTGACAATCTTAAACTATAATAAGAGGTATTATGTAAAATATGTAGTTTTTTATTTTTAATAACTACAAAAATCCTATGTAACAATTACAAAAATCCCATGAAAAATTCATAACAGGCATTAGCATATCTTAGTGTGATTAGCATGTTAGTACCTCAGATAAATCAGAAGTTTGCCATGCCCTAGCTTCTTTCTCATTGTAATCATTACAGTTCGTACTTTGCCTCGAAATCTGAGGTGCTACATAACAGCTTTTGCTATTGGTATATTTGGTGATGGGTTGTGTTTTGGGAGGAAGGAGTTTATTTCTATCCAAGAGTTCCAGATTCCCTGGCTCTGAATTTTCCACTAAGGGAGAACACAGGCTTACCCTCTCTGTGGGTGCTTTTTTACAGCCACTTTCTCTGAAGCCCTCAGTTTTGTGATGCTTGAGCTTGCATTTTACCATCCAGTTCTGGAATCCATAAAGTAGAAATGGTGGAATGAACCAAATACCAAATGAACTTAGAAACCAGGAGTGGGAAATGAAGCTAAAGAATAGAGATCACCAACTTAGGTCTAGAGTAATTCAGCAAAACAAGGATTTGGGAAATTTAGGAATTGATAGGGTGCATTTTGTTGTTAATATCAACTAGAGGCACTTTACATTTGGTTAAGTGATCAAACTCTTTTAATGGGGTTGAACACCAACATACTGGCTTACACAGCTGAAATATTTTTGGTTTCCTTATTTTGCACTGGATCTGTTCTGTGAATACTTTCAAGTAATACATTTCAACCACTCTTTTTTTCTACTCTTGCTGCTCATTAAAATCTTTCATGTAGGTGCCAGAACAGTAAACAGTAAGCTTTTTAAAAAATTCAAAGCCATAGAACTTGTCATGTTTTCCGTTTTAAAATGATTTATTGAAATAAGATAATATGAATAAAAACCCATAGCCACCAAATAGGCTGCTTTAGTCTTATGCAAGACATTTTTGTAATGGAATACAACTAACAAAGTTTTGCACATCTGTAAATTAAGGGTGAAAAACAGTATGTCACATCGGGTATGGGGGCAGGATTCACACAAGGGCTCAGGTATGATTTGGAAAGTATATTCAGTGATGTGCTGGTAAAGAGAACTGCAGCGTTCCTCATGTTGTAGGAATTTGTCTTTGCTCTGCGACTTCCAGTCCCGTTTTGAGTCATACAAATGTTTTCTAACTTTTATTGTATTATTGCAATAAATCTTTTAACAGTGCTTTGCTAATGTCTTTTTCAAACTACTATTTCTACTGCTGCATTGAGAATAGCAACAATGAGAGCTAACCTTGGAGTACTTTATATAAATTTTTTAGAATTCTTAGCCAGGTAGGAAATATGTTAATATATTTTTAAAATTATATATCATGGTGGCATTAATAGCTAATCATCTGTCCTTGGCAAGCTAAGAAAGCAGTTGCTTAACAGTTACATACTTTCTCCAATGATTATTTCTCTTTGGGAGCCACAATATGGCACACACAGTGGCTTGGGAACAGAGCCCTGGGCTTCTATGGTGCTCAGGTAAAATCCGGCCAGACTTTCTTCAAGAGGAGAGAAAAATTAATGTTAGTTCTCTCAAGCTGAGAAGACTAAGCAGTTTTAGAGTAACAAATCTCTCCCAGATGGACAGTATATTTGAGGATGTGGAAGGGGTGACTGCCATGGAACAGCCATGCCTAACATACTGAAGAGCTGTTGCCCCGTCACTACCCTTTTACCTGGAGGCCAGCGAGTATCCCAGGAGACCTGGAAAAGGAAATCTCAGGGCATGGCTTTGGTCTCTAGTTAAGTTACAAGCATGCTTCCATCTAGTGTATAAAGGGAGCTTCCCTGGTTCCAGAGCTCCATCATGGCCAATGTGGAAATCCGACTGAAACAGATGGGAAGGAAGTAAGGGTAACTGAGGTTATGAATGTGTCTGAGGAAACAATGGAACTGGGCTCTCGGGTGAGCCATCTGCCATCCAGTCATGAAACTCAGTGAGGACCCCCCTCCCCCATCTGAGGATTCTGGTGGGAAGTTACCCTAGAAAAGGGGTTCACAATCTTCTTAGGATTACATACCAAAAATCAGTGGGGCAGATTTTTCTCACAAGATGGTAAAATAGTAACAAGAGCCACATCAGTGACTATTGTTTTTTGTAGGAAGGAGAGGGGTATTGTGAGGGTCAGAGGGGAAATTTGATGGCAACTGAGAGTGGCCCCCTTTACAGTGTAGTTCCCAGGACATATCTGAGAGTCATGGGCAGGTGATGGCTGAGCACCAGCCGAGGGGAAAATCCTTCAGGTCACTGCTTCTTACCCCACTTTGAGTTGTGATGCTGTGGTACTTCCTGTATGTCTTCAGAAGACACTTGGATTTCTAGGAAAGCACTTTTCTACTCTCTCTAGTAGGATTTTTTAATACATATCTAGATCCACAGGATTGAACCTAGGGCCTTCACACTAAGCTACGTGTCCAGACAATAACGACTGCGCTTCTGCTTGGCATTATCCACACAAGCTTTTGCAGGTCATCTCCCATTTGGCCCTGGAGGTTCATTTCCTCCACCTAGGATCTGTGTATCCTCAGCCCCCAACTACTACACTTGCCCCATGGTTCTGTTGCATGTACAGCGATTCTTTTTTTTTTTTGGTACCGGGGATTGAACTCGGGTCCTGGTGCTTGCGCAGCAGGCGGCGAAACCACAGAGCTAAATGCCCGGCCCTGTACAGCGATTCTTAATCCTGCCTCCACCTTGGAATCACAGTGTGTGTGATTTAATAGCTCTAGGGCAAGCCCTGAACGTTCCTCCAGTGAGAAGAGCACTTAAACAGGAGAAGTAGGAGACAGGGACAGAGTTGTTGAGGATGCGTTGCAGAAGGTTCTGTGTTCTGGTACTGGGGATGGCTTCTCCCTGTAGCTCCACCCTTAGAAAAAGCCCTCCTTGAACTTGCTCATAACTTCCCATACAGACTCTGCTTAGAGGACAGACATTCTGGGGCATGAAGCCAAGGCTACTGGCCATGGAAAAGTCACATGAGAGATCTCAGCTCAGGGGCTGGGACAGCCAAGCCACCGTCTCTGCTTAGGAGAGTAAGGGCTGCACTGGAAGGATCCATAGAGGACCACACTGCCTGCATAGACTCGGGCTGCACGGGGAAGGCTGGGTGACCTATGCATAGCTCTGTCCTCACCAACCTTCATTCCATTATGCAAACAGGCCATCTTATAGGGGCAGATATAGCTAAATACCTTTCCACTTTATTATGCGGCATCTGATTTAGATATTGTGTATTTTAGGAACTTTTATCAACCTCTTCCTACCAGTTCCTAGACTCTGGAGACTTATACGCCTATAAATCAACTTTTTTTTTTTTCCTCCCTGGTACCAGGGATCAAACTCAGGACCTTGCACTTTTAAGGCACATCTGGTGCCACTGAGCTAAATCCCTGGCTTTATTTCTTGATATAGTGGGTGGGGGGCAGGGCAGAGGAGCTGATTTTGCTATCATTAGTAAGGACATGGACCCTGCAATTCCCAAGTCTAGATGTCTGTACACTGCTTAGCACTCAGGGTGTGAGGTTCATCTCACATGGCCACTGCAACACTGTTATGCCTATCTGCTGCTGGGTGGTAGACATAGGTTTTAAGAATAATTTCAGCTATATGCCATTTCCCCAAAATCCTAATTTGAGAACTTAATCCCACTTTTATCATTCCCAAAATAAAAACACCATCTTCTTATTTTTTACTTGTTTAACAAGCCCCATTTAATTAAAAAATTTGAGATAGAGTCCCAAAATGGATTTGTTCTGAGGCCTGTTCTGTACTAGAGAGTGTGTGAGAGGTTTCAGGGGACAGGGAGGGAGGTTTCATTTTTTTTTTTCACATGGAGGGGCATCATCTCTTAAGGGTTTTTGTACTCTAGAGGCCACTCCCATGTCTGCTGTCATTCCAGTGGCTCTGCACCCCTCAAATAAAGGCCAGATCAACCACCTAGGATATGTGTGCTGCCTCACTGGTTGTTTAAACTAGTTTGGTATAAATACGGTGTACGTGACCCAAGGATGTATGGTCACAATATTTGCTCTTCTGAGTTTATAGAAATACCAGCTATGGCCACAGATTTAAGAATGGCCTGCCTGTCAGTAAGAGCGGACTGCATATTGCCCAGAGGTATTTTCACCAACTCATAAGAGATTATAACACTAGCTTATTTGAACCCAAAGGTAAAAGAGCTGAAACTATCAGTTCCACAAAGTATCTGATACTGCATGGTAAAGGACATTTTTTAAACACAACATTGATATACAGCCAGATAAACCAACTCTTCCCACTGGTGTGGTCTGTACACCACAGACAATAAGAGAAAGATGTAGTACAGACTGACTTTATGATGTTAGTGAAGGCAGCTGCGAATGAAAGAAGACAAATAACCAACCTGCCAAGTAAAGAAGCAATGTCAACAATTGGAGCCATGCAGAATGTGCACAGAACAGCTGTCCAAGGTCAGTCCACAAAGGTTGGCAGGGAGGCGCTGACAGGTTACAGGTAGTGAGTGATTGGACAAAGCCCAGGAAGGGAGCCCTTAGGTCAGTGGTGGCAAACCTGTGCCACATGGTAGTTTTAAGACAAAAGATGTTAATCAAAGAGTAATTTTTTCTAAACTAAAACCTCAGTATTCAGGTTTAATTGCAGTGTTGGCACTTTATGATAAATATGTGGGTTTTATGTTACAGTTTGGGCACTTGTCTAAAAGGTCTGCCATCACTGTTCTAGGTAATGCCATAACCATTCCTGCTGCTGGGTGCTACTGGCAACAATAGAGCCTCAGTTATCCCAAACGCATGAGTTACAGAACACTCCTCTTGCCTTGTGGCTGTAAAATGAATTTCCCAGCTGGGCATGGAGGTACATGCTTATAATCCCAGCACTCAGGAGGCCAAGGCAGGATAACCATGAGGTTGAGACCAGCGTGAACTACATGACAAGACACTGTCTGATTCATAAAGGACTTCCCGTGTTACCAGCTGAGGTCAGAAAAAACCATCCTCCAAGATCCCTTTACCCAACTACAGGTTTCTCACCCTGGATTATGGCATGGCCCAGGGCAGTCCAAATGGGTTTTGCCAGCACCTTTCACAATTAAGATGTTCACTAAGTAGGGCATGAAAACACATTTTATGGCACACGTGCCAAATGAGGCTCCAAGGATGGGAGGAACTAGTATCATTTGAGAGGACAATGGAGAGCGAGCTGCACGTACAGTGCTACTAAGGGAGTAGTGGCAAGTCCCTCGCACAGTGTTGTAAGATACGGGGCTCACCCCGGTGAGTGGAGAGCTGGGGCTTGGTTTCCAGAGGACATCTTGACATGGCCTGAAAAAGCACAGTTAACCATTTAGTTCTAACTTGGCCTGTCGTCCCTTTCCAAGGCACTTCTTTTATCCTGTCTTTTACGTTTTGGTTGAGACAGGATCTTGATCATGTGACCCGGGCTGGCTTCAAACTCATGGTGGTCCTCCTGCCTGGGCCTTCTCAGTGCTGGGACTGTAGGTGTACACCACACCACCACGCCTGGCTTGTCTTTGGTCTTATCTGCTGGGCAGAGATAAGAATTAGGGCTGACTCCTGGTTTCTCTGGTTATAGTTTTTCTTTCAAATGATCAAGTGAGGGATGAGAGAGAAAACACTGAGTCAAGTCTATCAGCCTCTGAGCAGATGCTGAAAGGGGGAAGTTTTCTTTATTGGGTGTGAACAGGGAGGCCATGACCTTTGCACGCCATTGTTTCTGGTTAAATCTATGATGGCAGGAAATAAGATTTTACCAGCTTAGCACGACGGGGTTCCAACAGAAGTAGGGGTTACATTTGCCTAGAAATAAAAACCAGCAGCTAGTGCACACCTATAACCCCAGCATTCAGGAGGCTGAGGCAGAAGGGTTACACAGGAAATCAAGTGAGACCCTGTCTGAAAACACACTCACAGTTGGGGACCAGTGAGTGGCTGCCCTTTGATGCCAACCACTAAAACCTTCTGTCATGTATGTAGATGGCAGTGGGAACTGAGTTCTGCCACAGTTCAAAACAGGTCATCAGCAACTTCTGAGGGCTCTGAGAATGCCATGAGAGGCTGGACGTTCTTACTTAGGCCCTCTGCCCTTGGTCAGTGCAGCCACACTGGTACACAGTGATAAGCACATCAGGAATGGCTGACTTGTGAAAGGTGGAGTTATTGGCCTGTGTGTTCACACAGTACATGGAGATTCACAGACAACACTGACAGCTGACATTTTCTGGGCACTTCAGACACCTAGCTGAGCTCTGAGTCCTTTATGTGTATGATCTCCTTTAATCCCAAATGATATGGATCACAAAAAAATTCTTATTAGGCATTACTGAGATTGCCAATTTAGAGCAAATCATAGTGAGGATCAGCACTATTCACTTGAGTATAGAGGCATTTTCATGTACCTCAGCTGAGGTCATAAGGAAAACCACAGCTCTCTGAAAGGCAAAGTAAGCTGTTCTCAGCCTCCTCTTGGTCCTGTTGTAGACAAATTCCATGAGCTGGCAGGCTAGCCAAGCAGAGCTTGCCTGTCTGGGGAAGACTTACTGGACATCAAGACATCAAGACAGACACTGTTGTCAGCTTTAGTGTCCCCATTTTTTGCGGGGATGAACCCAGGGCCTTCTACATGCTAAGCAAGCACTATATCATTGAGCTTTAGCCCACCAAACCCCCTTTTAATTTTGAGACAGGATCTCACTAGTGTCCAGACTGGCCTCAATCTTGTCATCCTGTTTTAGCTTCCTAAAACAGCTGTGGTTACAGGTATATGCAACTCCACCCAGCTAGTACATCTTTTGAGGGAGGGAGGAGTTAGTGCTAAGGATAAAGAAGAAAAAAAAATCAAAATAGGTTCCAGTCTGGAAATCCCTCTGTACTCCCCTCTTGTCTGGGCCACAAGTAAGTCTGGCTCCATGTCCAGCTGGTCCTGCCTTGCCCTGGTTGGGAGTCCTGCCAACTTCCCCAGCCATGAAGATATCTTTACTGACTTCAAAATGATCACTGGACAACGTGTAAGGATAAGATACCACATCACGCAAGAGTAAATATGGCAGGTGGTGAGAAGAAACATTTAAGATATTAAAAGATTACAGAATATAATGTCCCATCACGGAAGAACACAGTATCCTCCCACCCCCCACCCAATATTTCTTTACAACTCAAGTCACAGGAACTGTCAACATTAAACCCAAGAAAAGGAATCTTTCCAAAACTCAGGTCTCATTTAAGATGTTTTTATTGAAGTTTGAAAAAAAAATCTGTAACCGGACAGGTTAAAATAGACAAGACCTCATAATCTGACTATATAATATTCTCTCTTTCTTGGTGGGTCACTAAAATATAGGGAAGGGTGGTTCTCTATGCTAATTTTAAGGTTGTCCAGTTAATCCATTATTTGGCATCCTTTGAACAGGTTAACCTCTTACCTATTTAGTTTCTTCTCAGAAACATTCATATATTATGCAGAAAACATTCAGTTTATTTGGAAACATTCTTATTTTATACAAGATATACAAATTTTGAGACAACTAAACACTTATAGCTGCAACACTATCCTAGCTGCATTGTGATGTCTGTGTTTAGTCATGTTGTTCATCATATACAACTCGATTTTGACTGTGTTATATACAGAGGGGCCAAAGAACTCATCTAACAGTAAAGGTGCTCAAGTTTAATGTGCACTTCCACAGCCCTGTGAAAACACACCATTATGTACACTGTAAACACCACAGGGCATGAGATCCATCTCCACCCATGAACACCAGTCTCACAGGATCAAGCACACAAGGTTGAAGGTAAGGTGTCCAACTTTTCCTTTCAGGCAAACTTTTCATCCAGGGGTCTTGCTATTCTCATAGGGCACTATTTACTTATTTCAAATATGGTGCTAGGGCTAGAAACATTCCTAGAAGCCCTGTTTGGGAACTGCCAGCAGAGCCTGCAGTGGACTCCTCTGAACATCTTTGATGATGGCAAGTCTTCCTCCTTTTGAGGATAGATGGAGAAAAACAGACATAGTCACTCCTTGAATCAAGTGTGAGGGCTCCCTTTAAAATCACAGTACCAGTCTTGTACAGCTGGTAAATTAAGAGCTTAAAAAATGCCTGATCAATGGCAATTCTGATGGAACAGGTGCAGGTGCTCCTACCATGACTGAGAGGCAACACTGTTTATCTAGATATTCCAGGTTTTAAAACTCAGCTGTCTCATTGCCTCTCGCCTGGCCTTTAGTATTCCTCTTCAGTCTCACTCCCTCTCGCTTTCTTATGTACTGCCCGGTTAAAGCTGTGGCAGACAGGGACCCAGTGATTGTCATGAAGCCCCAGCTTACAGCCAGGAAAACCCTTCTGAGACCGGTGGCAGCACATCCAGTATCCAGGCCCATAGGGCAGTGCTTGGCAATAGGGCTTGGGGTGCCACTGGCATAGGGACACATCCCCTTTCACATATTTTTTCTTGCATTGCTTGCAGGGATCCTCTCTATAGCGTGGGTCTCGAACCCAGCGTGAATCTGCTGGCCTGATGTTGTAATATTCAATGATAAACTTGAAATAGCAGCAGGTACATTTAAGAGCCACTAAACTCCTGGTGGGAAGTAACCTGAAAATTTTCACCATAATGTGGTGGGGCAGACATGCCATGTACTGCTGAGGCTCTAGAAGCTGTTGGATTTTAAACCTGGTCTCCAGAAAGTCATGAGACACTTGCTTCTTCCAAGTGGATGCTTCAAGCACTGGCAACGTGCTTTCCACTGCAGAGGCTGGTAGTGTACAAGGCTGGCCTGAAAGACCTCTGTCCTCAGCACCATCCTCAGCAATGCCTTCAAGCTGGCTACCCTCCGAATACTCTGGGGCTGTGCTCACATTCCACTGGGAATAGTCCAACTGATGCTGACCAGGTGGCAGAAAGAACAACATCCCTGGAAGAGGTTCCTCATGAGAGCTTACGCTAGAAGACTGGTCTTTTTCTGCCTTGGACACAGTGACGCTAATGGACAAAGATTTGATTGCTCTCTGATCAGGCTTTTGATTAGTGAGTGGCACAAGCTCTGTGCTCATACAAACAACAGCATCTGTGGGCAATTCAGTGGCTCGGGGACAAGTGTGAGAAGAAAAAGGTAATCCATCAAGCTCATCTATCATTTCCACATCATGCCTGTTGCTCGTTTTCGTGGTAGTTTGCTGACCTAGCTCTAAAAGTACACTGCTTGTGCAAAAATTCACACTTGCTTGCAATGAGGGACAATCCTGAGGGGTACTGTCCCAGGCCCAGTCCCCTGTAGAACAATGGTCAACTCTTGCAGGGCCACAGTCCACAGAGACAGATTGCACAGGATTCACCTGAGTGTCAGATACCTCCAATGCACCTTTTTTTGTTCTGCCTTCATCAGCCCGACTGCCATTTGCAAGCAACACTCTGCCCACATTTCGACGGGAGCTGTTGTTCCATGACAGGCTCCCAGGCTCACGCTGGCTCTGCCTCTTCAGGCACTCAGACTCCAGCCTGGCTACCATGTCAAGCACATGGACTGGTTCATTTTGTGGTTCTCCAACCTCAGGATTTCCCCTTTCTAGGGGTTCCTCACAAGCTCCTGGGTCAGAGAAGGACTCAGGGGTTGGGGGCATGCCTCTGGATTGACCAGAAAACCTCTCAATGGGAGGTGAGTTTGTGCAATTTTTCGCACAGCTAGCTAACAGAGCACTGGCTCTTTGCTCAAGGAAGGCAACCATCTGTATAACTGACAGAGTCCTCCCAGCATAGACTCCATCTCCATTGTCATTCACGTAATGCACAGAACAGTGCTCAATGCCACAGGCAAATGGCTCAGGCTGGTAGCACTTGCTATTGACTTCCCTCATCTTTTCTAACTGTATCTTGGCTTTTTTAAGATCCCCTGATTTTTTCCTTCTTTTAATAGCTCTTCCATCAATATCCCAGGTGCTTTTTATTTTCAGAGCTCCTGTTCTATTGCTACACTGGTGGGCTACAAAGAATGCAATTTTCTCCTTGGTATTTCCTGGTTTCACGACAGCCCAGATGTCAAGTAGCCCTTCTCCTTTGCCCTGGTGGATCGCTGGAGCCAGGACATTCTTTTTGGCTTTCACATTCAAGCTGCTCTCTACAGGATTCTCCCCACTCATACTGCACAGAACATTTGGAGACAGGTCCCCAAAAGGTTTTCCAGATGATGCTTTGATGAGAGAGGGTGAAGCCAGGGGACCTGGTTTCACGTCGCTAGCTTTTCTCTTTTCATCATTCACAGCCCTTTGGAGGCTCACAGGAGTTCTCAGAGTGGCCTTGTGCTTTCCGGGGGTGCTCTTTCGTCTAAAGTATCCAATATGGCTTTAGGTGCAGAATGGATTCCCTATAGAAAAGAAATACATAATTGATAGGATTTCTTTTAGAAAAGTTTTTTCCTTTAAGTTTAGATGGTTTTAGCAAGTACAAGAAACATTTTCTGCCAGTTTACTAAATCCCAATACTCTCATTTCAGGTAATTATTAATACACAGGTTAAGTATTAAAAAACCAAAACAACTATTTTGAATGGTACTTTAGCCAGAAAATAAATTTGTTTTTACTTCTGAGTTTTAGAACCCACTATTAGTTTATAGTCGATACACAAAATTAATCCTTTAAAGGAAACTGAACCTTCTGCAAAGGCTTACGGAAGCAGATTTTTAAACAGTATATCTTTCTAAGTCATCACAAGTAGCATATCAAAATTATTACATAGTATTGCTTCCTATAAACTAGTCCCATACTGATGACTAGTTATCTACAACTTTTCACTTGTTTGCTTATGTACTTTTGTCTATTAGTCTTGACTTTCTAAGTAATCTATTTGTATAAACACTTAACCATCAAATTTCTTGAAATACCAGAAATCAAGTATAGAACCTATAATCCTTATTAACTCTAAAAACCACCTTGAACTAGTTCAGAAAAACAGTGCCTTGTTTTCTGTACGGGGTGGAGGTGGGTGCCATTTTGGAAATGAAATAGAAAGATGATTACACAAGAGACACCTATGTTCCAGTCCCTGCCATATCACTGATTAACGAGATAGGAAGAATTTACCTTGGGCAGGTCACTTCCTCCCCGAGTCTGAGTTGAAACATTAACTGAAAGACTGAAATGTAGGTACTGATCATGTCAAGGTTACACAAACACTCGGGATTGAAGAAAGTGGTTTCTAGGGATACCTGGTCTTTTGCCAAAGAAACCCACTGGCAAAATAAAGATCTGCAATCAGGTTGGTGGGAATGCAGCAGACTTAAGTGCAGGAAGTCTTCCCACTCTGGTTTACTGGGGACAACAGTTTATGAAATATGTATTGGGTGATTCTTGTGTGCTCCCTCCCATTTGGTCCACAACATGTACTGAGTGCCTGTAATGTAGCAGCCTTTATGGAATCGTCTTGGCACCAGTGTTTTGTCAGGTATGAAAGTGACTGGGTCAAGTTTACCCTTCAATTTAACTTTTAATTCTAGAATGCAGTCTTAGCTAAAAGGAGAGATATGAATATGGCTATCTTCTAGCCAGGTAAGGGAAATCTGCCTTTAAGGTGCTATGTAGGGCACTGGCCTCAGACTCACAATCCTCCCTGCCTCAGCCTCCCACGTGCTGGGGTCATAGGCACGTGGCAGCACACCCACACTTTATTTCTTTTAAAAGATAACCCTAGGCCACTGTGCTCTCCTTTGCTTGGTGGCCTGCCCTCACACTGTAGAGTCTACTTCTTTTCTTCCTTGGGCCAGACTTGCTCTGCAGAGCCTATTTTTCTTACCTTTCATAAAACTTTGCTACTGTTGAAAAAGATAATCCTGAAACCAGGGGTCAAGGCACAGACCTGTAATCCCAGCATTTGGGAGGCCAAAGCAAGAGGATCCTGTTTTCAAGGCAAGCATGTGGGCTAGTGAGATCCTGTCTCAGACACTAGAAGATTCTCCTGAAGTAGATCTTACCAGGGTCTTTCTAGTCCTTGGCAGTTTACACCCTAACCGTGTGTAGAGATCTTTCCTCTTTTGAACTGCATTTTTAATAGCTTTCTATCACATTCTATAATTTAGTCTTGCCCAAAGAACCATCTAGAATTCTTCCTGAGCAAGATGACACACAAATGAATAAAAGAGGCACCTTGGGTGCTGTCTCTTTGTGCCAACTACTTTCTGGTTTCTCATATCCTCTACAAGTGAAATGAAAGAAGTGCAGGTTGTTGATAAAATAATAATAAATTCTCACATAATGATCTCATCAGAGTGTTCATAAATTTAAACTAGCGATGTGTGTGCTGTTTTGCACTGTACAGTATGTTCTCTTTGCTTCCCCCTCAGCACATTATTTTGGGTGCTATTATTGACAGACAGGGACATTAAGAAACTAATGTAATTAGGGAAGGCTTTTGTTTGCATTTAACCTGTAGTCAGCTCAACTGACACTTGGGTACAAGATGACAACAGAGGGGATCTTAGGGGAGGAAAGGTACAGGGAAGGGGAAAAGCCAGTAAGGATTCGTAATCAAGAGACTGCTGGCAAGTGAGGGTGATTGTTGTAAGCCTCTGAAGGAGGCACGGTGTTTAGCTTACAACCCCTGCTGGCTAAAAGCTGCCTGTGGTTAACCTCTCCACCTGGCTTGCTGGGCTGGCAGGTCCTGAGGCAGAAAACGTGCCGGCAAGACTTTGAGAAACTGGGTTTTGGCTGAAATCAATGGTAGACTTTAAGAGAACAGGATGCCGGGCACCAGGGGCATCAGTTGCAAAAATCCATAAAATAAAAATTTTAAATCTTCAAAAGATTAGACCAGATGGTGACACTCCTCCCACCCCCAACACAGGCACAGCAGAAAGTTCCAGCTAGGTTTCCATGGTTGCCAATCTCTTCATCAAAGTGTATTTTTTAGTTTGCTATAACAAAATCCCACTCTCCTGCAATTAAAATATAGGTTTTTGTTTCGCTGCCTGCTATGCAAGCGCAAGGACCCGAGTTTGATCCCCGGTACCAAAAAAATAAAAAAAATATAAAATAAAATATAGGTTTTTATAGAATGTACACATTAGTACTCAGACTCAGAAAGGCTCTGGACCCATAACAGAATCAGAATTTCTGGGATTAGGCCAGAATCTGTCCTAACCTTTGAAGCTGGAAGAGACTCTGGTGGTCAGGTGTTAAATCTAGGCTAAGAATGTCAGTGTGGCTCTGGATTTGGGTTGGGGTGCTGAGCTATGAATAGGGGTGACATGGAACTGGCCAACAAGCCAAGCAGAGTCCAGGCTAAGGCATCTATTCCAAGAGTTGGGTAAAAATGCATTTTCTTATTTTTTATTCTCTTTGAAGCACAGTTAAGTGAATGGCTTTTATTGCCAAAGCCCCCTTCACTTCTACCTTCCCAGTTTCTTCAGCACAGCCTTCCCAACTCTTTCTTCTTCTTAGTCCTCAAACATCAGTGTTCCTCAGGGTTCTTTTTCTAGATCACAGCTCCTTTAAGCTCTGTATCAGAGTGATCTCTTCCAGTTTCAATGCCATCTCACATCTCCAGTGAGAAACTCTCTAACATCAATATCCCACTGTCTGGTACATATACTCACCTGCAGGTCAACAAGAATCTCAAACCTCCAGTTCTAGTTGATGTCAGCCTCAGGTACTAACTAGACCAAGTGCCAAACTGCAACTCAAAGTCCACTTATTTATTTCAAAGTGCTAACACTCCAATTAAACCAGAATACTGAGGTTTTAGTTTAGAAACGCCTACATTAGGGCTGGGGATTTAGCTCAGTGGTTCTGCCACCTGCAAGGTCCCGAGTTTGATCCCCAGTACCTCCCCCCCAAAAAAGAAAAGAAATGCCTAGAAGAAAAACACAGTAACACGCATGCCATAGCTTCACCACCACTGACTTAGTGGAACAGCCCAAGTCACTCATATTCCCCCACCATAACCCCACATACAATCACTAAGTCCCTTAAACGTGCCCTCCATGCTCTAGGCACAACTGCCAGACTCGGAACAGATATCTTATCTCTGACATGCTGTTGTTAGCTACAGGAAAGCCCACCCTCTGTCAGTGCAAGGCAACGTGCTGGAGCCCACACTAGCCAACCTATCACCTTTGCTCCTGCTTGCCCTATCACACTTCTCACCCTGGAAGCTTGTTCACAGAACCACTACCACAGGAGCAGGTAGGTGAAGGCCAATCCTATCACTAAGATACAACTGTAAAGCAACCAAGAGCATAAACCAACAGCCTCAGCATTTTTTCACATTAACTTCCACCCTACAAATGTTCATTTCCTTCAGTCCATTTAACAGAAATTTACTAACTATTCTGGGCTGGATACTTCTGCTACTGTTATATGTAAGACAAAGCTGTGGCTTTAAGGAGATAAAAGAGTCAAACAATTACAACAGAATGCGGTATGCATTACAAGGGCCATTTACATGCTATAAGAATCCATGGAGGGAGAGGATGGCATGAGAGCAGTGTGTGTGAAAGAGAAGAGGGGTCTACTAGCAGCAAAGTTCAGTTCAAGTGTCAGGTCTAAGATGTCCTCATTTTCTAAGCTAAGCCTTAAAGGGAGACATACAAAGTCCGATGAGATTCAAAAGTGGTGGTTCTTTGGGAAAGTCAGGTGAGAAAGTTTGAGTTAAGGTACTAAGAGCAGCTATGAAATGTAAACAAGCAAGGATTCATCATTCATTAAAACTGGAGGATGAAGGACAGGCATGAAGGATGGATCTGCAGCTTGTGGGTTTAGCGACTGAAGTCTAATTGCTTTAAGTGGATGGTGACAAGGTGGCTGAGCAGATTCAGAGCGGAGGCGGCAGCAGAGGTAAGTTCAATGTCTCCGAAATGTTGGACTTGATTGTTTGTCAAATAGAGACACCCAGCAGGCAGACTAGTGAGGAGAAACAACAAAAAAGGAAAACACAGGGAGAACTATTTCAGCAATGAAAATGGCTTCTGGATGGAGAGTACAAGTCCTTCCCCAAAATTTCCATAATGAACACGTATTACTTTTATAATCAGAAAAAATGTACTAAGAAGGAAGAGCAGTCATTTGCAGACAATGCAGCGTGGTGGTGCAGTCTTTGATGATGCTGTGAGGAATGGGAAGTGGCATCAGGGTGCTGGTTGGAGCAGCTTTCACAGCACTCACTAACTGAGAGGAAATCTCGGTATTTAGCCATCACCTTGCCAGCATTTGAGGGTGAGGCAGGAGGACTGCCAGGAGTTCGAGGCCAGCCTGGGCTACATAGTGAGTTCAAGGCCATGCTGAACTGCATAGTGAAACCCTGTCTCAAAACCCCTTCCCCAACATAAGACACAGCCATCACTGTGAACACATTGCAGGAATATGGCGAGATTAA